ACAAATAGTTAGGGACGTACATGAAACATCATTCAATGTCAGGATCTTGATGTAATTTTTTAAAAAATATAGATTCACATGAAGCGCCTCTTATATATATAGAGAGAGAGATTACTTGTGTTTATGCAGATTTAGGCTTTGTTTGGGATGGCTTTCTTACTACTTCTTAAAGCAGCTTTCGAGTACAAAAATTTTAATTTTTATATTGAAAAGCTACTTTAAAAAGTAGTAAGAAAGTCATCCCAAACGAAGCCTTAAATGCCAGTGGTTGAAAGTAGTGGGAGGGGACTTACATGAAAGTAAAAAGTAATGAAAATAACGTGGAGCACATGATCATGTATAGGAAGTGACTTCATGAGAAAGAAATGATGCAAAGATGGGTTTGGAAATACAAAATGTTGGCCTGTTGGGTACATGAGAGTATGTTTTGGAAGGGATTTTGCATGAGATTGAGGGAAGAATGAACATGGTTGAGGGTTTTTCTCTATTGAGTTCATTAGTGTGTTTTGGCATTAGAATATGATAATATGCTGAACCTGATGTTATTTTAAGTTGCTATATTGATGATTGTGACTGGCTTTTAGTTTTTGTTGGTTTTGTTAGCTTGTATGGATTTCTTAATAGCATAAAATGGACTTGTTTGAAATATCTAAAATTAAAGAGGCACTTTTATGGTTCTAATTAAGTAGCCAGTTAATGCGAGTATTCACGGAGAATGATGTGGGATTACATGAGAATCTTCAACATACAGATTGCACCACGCTCCTTAAGTTTCTTATTTGCACAAAAAGGCATTTCATAAATCATCAAAACTATTTCTTTATTTCATTTAATATATATCTTTTTTTATTTTTTTTATTTTGCTAGTGTTTCTTAGAGGAAGTGACGCACCTGGAGTCGTTGTCTAAGAGCTTTTTAGGTTCTTATTAGCTTTGTCATGGAGTTTAATTTCTCGAGTGTGGGAAAGATTTATTAGCCTTCCGAAATAATTATAACAATAGAGATAAAACAAAGGGTTGATAACTTTAGTTGATAGAACAGATTGCATGGCATTCATTGCAAATGGTCTAAAATGGGTTAAAAGCTGTAAGATTCCCAGTCTTTCAAATTTCAGATATTATCTAGCTAAAATTGAGTGCAATTCATTCTCTGGACGTAAATAGAACTACTTATAGGCATGGTTTAAAATTGCGCAATATGAGGCTCGCCTTGAGGCCCGCCTTTGCGCAATTCCAGTAAAAAACACCTCGATGCTTACGCCTCGAGTTTTTGTTATGAGGCTTGCGCCTCAACTTAGTTCAGGCCCGCCTCGCCTCACTGGCATGAGGCTTACGCCTCACCCTATAAATACTAAAACTTACATAAATCTTGAAGTAAATGCCCAACATTGGACTCTATAGGAGAGGAGGAAGGGGAGAGAGCAGTTCATCATAATGATGATTCAAATGAAGAACCCCTTAGTGATGACAGTGCCAATGACTTATGAGTTCTTATGTGATATGTCATTGCTATTTATTTTTAGAAATTGGAATTATATGCTAATGAAAAGAATACTGGGACTTGGGAAAGATAGAATTTTGAGTTGAACTATATTTCATGTTGTCTTATTATTGGGATATTTTGATTTCACTTCATATCTTATGTTTTTTTATGTTTTATATTATTCACTCATTAGTATATAAAAAATTTATCATTTTATGTTTACGCAATCTTTTGATTTTGAGGTTTACGCCTCAAAAAGCCTTGAGGCTTACGCCTCGCCTCACGAATGAAAAACGCCTCAATACTGATGTAGACACAATAAAGAAACAGACGCAATGGATAGAACTTAAAACAAACTTTATTAAAATAAAGATGGACAACTAAAACTTGACAAACACGACAAGAAATTGATGTAATACCACTAGGAGTTACAATTAGAAATTTAAAAGAGAATTGGTTAAAGTATGGCTCATTTAATTTAAAGCGATCACATACAAATGAGTAAAGGATTTTGAAATTTTCAACTTGCTTAGGCTCAAAGATATGCAATAGAGATTAACTGAATCAATTCATTCAAAGTTCAAGGAGAATTTAAATGCAAAGTACAAATAACAAAAACCCAACGTTTAACAACGAGAATTTCACCTCGTGGCCGTCTCACTCAAATATTGGTAGGCTTTTAGCGGAGATAGAAGATCCAAGCGATGAAGGATATTACCACTAGAGAGAAGGCGCCGAAGAACTTCGTCGGAGGAAAGGTAGCCGGTGGGGAGGGATGTCGTAAGTGGCCGTCGAGGCTCCAATTGTACTTTGAAAATTGTCGGTCGTAGATGCTTGCAAGGATCAGGACGACTCTCTCCAAGTATTCTTCCACGGTGGTTTCGTCTTCAAATCCTACGTCGAAGCACGGAGATCGTAGGATGTTGATGCTTCCGTCGGCGTTGAACACAAGACCCCACTCAAGTTCGGGATCCGCCATTCAACATTGAAGAGAATCGGGGAGAGGGGTGTCGTCTTCTCCTTTCCTTGCTGAAATTTCCCAAGAGAGGGAGTGAGGAGGTGGTCGGCCAAAACAGGGAAGGAAGGGGGCGGGTGGATGGGGTGAGGGAAATTAGGTTAAGGAAGGGGAAGAGGGGAATTACACAAATCTGAAATTAATTTCAGAATTTGTGTAAATTGGAGGGAAGAAAATTTGAAATTGATTTCAAATTATCAAGAGGATTAAGGGGCAATTAATGGGCATTAATGTGGCCCATTAAGGAGGAGGCCGGCGGCTTAATAGAGAGAGGGAGCATGTGAATTCAAAAACCTGAAATTTGATTTAGATTTTTGAACAAAATTGGAGGGGGATTAATTTGAAATTGATTTCAAATTAATGGGATAATTAATGCATTAGTTGGTGGCATAAAGGAGGGCCCATCCAAGGTGGCCGGCGGCTTCATGGGGGAGGGATTTTGTGTGGGGAGCAAGTGATTGGTTTCCAAATTGGCTCATGACATTTAGGAATGATTAAAATGAAATCCTTTGAATTTCGTTATGAAACGGATTTAAAACTTTCATAATTTGGAAGTTCCAAATTTGGAAAGTTTTCGAAATTCAAATCTTGAATTTCGAAATTAGCCGTTATAGGGAATGGGGAAAGAGGAGGTCGGTGATGAAGAGGTTTACCGGCGGCAAGGGGAGGGTGGGGTGGCCGACGGCTTAGGATGGCCTAGGGCCGGCGGGTTTTGGGGAGAAAGAAGAAGTGCGGGATGAAGGGGATAAACCACGAGTCACGGACTCTTCCAATGACTGGTGGGTGTTGCTTTTGGCCCTCACCTTGGGCTTTCTCTCGCACTTCTCTCTAGCTCTCATGCAAGAAGAGTAAGAAGAAACAAAATCAAAAATTTCATTCAATAATTCATTAACCTCCAAATGATACAAGAGACCACTATATATAGGTCTCAACTCATACAAAGCGAAAGTACTAAATTGCCCTCTGGACTACAATAATAAAATAACTCCCCACAGAGGTAAAATGAGAAAAACAGTAAATAAAACAAGGCAATAATAAAATACATCATGACATCTAAATCAAAAGTAGAGGCGCTGAATCGTGGTCGTCTATCTGCGGTTTCGCCGGCGATAAACATGTCGGTAGCATCTGTCGATGTCCTCATCAGAAATACTAGGAGATTTTTTTAAGGAAATAAAGAAAATTAAAAAAGAAAAGCTATCCTCAGACAACCGTTAGAGCGGGTTCCTCACATGCATCGAATAGTAGATTAAATAAGAGAAGTGCATAAGACTAGCAAACCGATGGTCCACCACTGCAAGACTGTCCAAATGCTTCCAAATCAACCAAGACACGACACCCTAAAATTGCTTCACTGTTGAGAAGAAGGATACAGATGGAGTGGCACTTGCGGAGAGACGAAAGTGGTTAGAAGCCCGAGAAGAAAGGTTGGAAAGAGCCCGCAGGATTTCCGGAGGGGATGAGAAAAGAAGGGTGGAAAGAACCCGCAGGATTTCCGAATAAACCCGTAGGTTAATAGCAAATATGCTCACAAATATCAACTCCCTTTCCCTCACAAGTTCATCTCTTATTTATAGGCACTGAAGGGGAATACCAAGAGCCTCATGACTTTAATTTCCATTAGAACTGAAGCTTTATTAGCATAGAAATCCTCCCCATCCATTCGGAAATCAATCCAAACACAGGAACCGAAATAGCAATTGTGGGAAACAAGCAGGTCGCAGGAAACCAAGGGGGCATAGCATCGGGAAAGATCCCAGGTGTGGAAAAACAAAAAATGACCGGAATCCCAAGAGGTAAAGGCTCGGAAAACAGCAACTTATAATGAATTTTAAGCATAGAATTCAGCCCCAAATAAACACAAGCCACGGTTTCCCAAGAGACAAGAAGAAAGGGGAAGGGGAAGGGACAAGGCCACTCCAAAAGTAAATCTTCTTAATGAGGTACCTTTTGAGAATTAAAGAGCTACTAAACTCCAGCTTCAAGCAACTAAAAGAACAAGCTCAACGCCATGTGCTCCAAAACAGCCAACCCGTGAACCATCATCAAAACAGCCAACCTGTGAACCATCAGTAGCCAAGGACCAATCGAGTCAGCAAACCAAAGGTCTACCAAGCCTTACGCACAATCTACCATGATCATTGGATGCTTTCCCATCATTGGATAGCTAAAAAAGAAAATAAAATAAAATATAAAACAAAATATACTATTGTTCAAATAAAAGAAAAGTACAGAAATCCTTGATAGCATCAAATACCCGCAATTTTAAACATTGCTTATAAGCCAAGTAGGATGTCAGATAATTCAACTTGATTTGATATAGGCAATTCTAAATTTATTTATTTAGCCTAACTCGCTATTTTCTTCTGTCGATATTTGGCACTACTACACTTTTTTGTCACATCTTGTCATGGATACGATTATTTACCAATCAGATAACTGGAATTGGTATTTGCTTATAAGCTTCCTTTTCTTCATGAATTAACGTTTTTTAAATCTGCAGATTACAGTTGAAAAAACTATTCTAGAACAAGCTAGCAGCAGATATGAACTTCAAGGGGAATATGTGTTGCCTGGAACACGTGATAGGTATTCCAATGAAAATAAAGGTGTTGCTTTACTTAAGAGAGCTATGGCTGGGCATTTTGGCAGTGTGATTTCATCAATGGGGAGATGGCGTATGAGACTAGAAGTTCCAGGTGCTGAAGTTTCTGAAATGCTTCCACTTGCGAGGCTCCTTTCTCGAAGTACAGACCCTGCTGTTCAGTCTAGATCAAAGGTTATATACTACCTGTTTACATTATGATTGTCAAAATAGATAGCCAGTGGATTATTGGGTTTGAAATAACTATGATTTTAACAAAGTTTCCCTACTGTTTGTTATAGTTGTAATCACAAGGTATATGAAGACTTGAAAATGCCATTTTGGAACACACAAATTTCCTACTACTGTCATATTTATCATCATGAACAAAAATCTAACTCTCAAGTTCAGTTTTCTGATAGGAAGTGGATGCAATTTTAGTAAAATTGGAAAACAGCACAAGAAATTTAGGATGATGAACACAAGATTTTTTTTTTCAAGATATATGAAAGAAAATAGCAAAGATACAGTTGTATCTTCAATTGGAGAGAAAAATTTGGCTCTCCCAAATCTCTTGCTGGCGGCTAGAGCCCTAACAACTTAAAATTTTCTAATTCCAACAAACTCAAAATATAATCCTGAAATCACCCTATTGTTAGCCTTAAATTGGCTCCCATAATTCTCTCCCAAATTAGCTTCTCTAAATAATTCTCTCATATTTGAATTCAAATTAGGTATCTTGCCTTAAATAATTCCCTCTCAGTTATAATTAAATTTTTTCTAAACCATTCCCCTTTGATTAAGAACCTTCATAAACAGTTCCCTCTTCATTAGGAAACTTCCTATTTCCCTCTCAATCAAGTCGGCCATTACAACAATACCTCCCTCCCAAAGACCCACCTTGTCCCCAAGTTTGAAAGATGGCTTCTTCCCCAATTTCCTCATCATCACAAATGGTGAGCACCTAAAGAGTTTAGTCATTACACCTGTGCCCCAATTATTCAAAATTCGAATTTTCAGAATTTGCAATCTTTAAAAATTGAAAATTATAATTCCTTAGTCTTATACAACCATCATAACACAAAATATATTTCCAAATTATATATCCTCATTTTGCTCTTTGTTATGGGCCTTGTTTAGCACTTGCTTCCTTCTTGCTTCAGGCTATTGTACTTGGTCCAGTTCTCCTCGTTGAACTTCTGATGCCTCATCTTCTTCCAACTTTCTTAGAAATTAAAGGAAGTACCGCCACAAAAAATAGCTAAGCAGAAAGGCCACTAGGAATATTTTCTATAGTTGGTTCGCCTTTCATTTTTTCCTTCACTTTCCAGTTGAGATGTTTATAATCTTCCTTTATTGGTTAGGCCCAATTTAGTAACCAATCATGTTTCACTTTTATGGATGCAGTGCATGTGATATAAAGGTTTTTTTTTTGTCTCAAAGATATGTCTACTTGCATCTGTCAATAAGTAAAAAAAGAAAAATAAGTAATTGCTTTATATGCTTTATAAGTTTCTCATTTGGTTTGATTGTGTTCTTTTTTCTGTTTTTGGCAGGAGTTTTTTATGCACTGTCTTCAATCTGATGGATTTCATGCTGAGGGCCTTCGTGATCTGCTTGAGGTATATAATAATATGATTCTGTATCTGTACATTGATTTAAGCAGAAAAATATCTATGCTTTAATTTTAATGACTAATTTTATAGGAAATACAAAACCATTATAAGTGGTCAGAAGATAATATCCTTGAAGATGTTACACTCCCGGGATTAGCTGAATTTAGGGGTCATTGGCGCGGTTCTCTTGATGCCAGTGGAGGTGGAAATGGGGATACAATGGTAAGTTTTGATAAGAACTTGCTATTAAAATATACCTCGTAAATCCATCCATTCATCTCTCACTTTGTTGAGTTGTCATTGTAAGTGACCAAATGGATACTTTCAATTATCACTTTACACAGGCAGACTTTGACTTTAGTGGAGAAGATTGGGAGTGGGGAACTTACAAGTCTCAGCGTATCATAGCTTCCGGTGCATACAGCAATAATAATGGTTTGCGCCTTGAGAAATTGTTCATCCAAAAAGAGAATGCAACTCTTCATGCAGATGGAACCTTGTTGGGACCAGTGTCAAATCTTCATTTTGCCGTTCTTAATTTTCCTGTTAGTCTAGTTCCAACTTTGGTTCAGATTATCGAGTCCTCAACTGCAGATGCAGTACATCCCTTGCGGCAAGTATTGTTACCCATCAAAGGTATCTTGCACATGGAAGGAGATCTTAGAGGAAACCTCGCAAAGCCCGAATGTGATGTTCAGATAAGGCTCCTAGATGGTGCTATTGGCGGCATCGATCTTGGACGAGCTGAGATTGTTGCTTCTGCTACAGAAAATAGTAGATTCTTGTTTAATGCCCACTTTGAACCTGTAATTCAAAGCGGTCATGTTCATATTCAAGGTAGCATTCCTGTGACTTACAGCCAGGATGATTCAGCAGATGCAATTGACAATGAAGGGGATGTTTCAGTTGGTTCTTTGAGGAATCCTATCTGGTTAAAAGAAAACGAAAGAGGTTCCTCAGATGAAACTAGTGAGAAGAAGGTTAGCAGAGAAAAACATGAAGAGGGTTGGAATATTCAGTTAGCTGTAGCTGAAAGCCTCAAAGATTTGAACTGGAATCTGCTAGATGCTGGCGAGGTGAGAATAAATGCAAATATTAAGGATGGTGGAATGATGCTGTTAACGGCCCTGTCTCCATATGCCAACTGGCTCCATGGGTTTGCTGATATTGACCTACAGGTAGGCCTGATAATAGCATACTACTTGATGCCTTGGATTTATTTTTTGATGTGCTTTTTTATACTTTTTAAAATGATTTATCGGATTACAGCATGCAATTGGTGCTATGATGATATCTGGTGGGTATTGGTGTTGTAAGAAATATTATTAATTGAGTAAAAGTCCAAAATAGCCCCCCGACTATTAGTAAATGCCAAATTTAATCCGGGACTATTAAAAAATATCCTAGTTTGGTCCCAATGTCAAAAAATAACAGTTAAAGTCAATAATAGTTAAATGTGAGGGCTTTTTTGGTATTATTATGTATATGAGATTATTATTATTATTATTATTATTTTGTTATTTATCATATTAAAATAAATATAAAAATTATAATGGAAGTTAACCAAATGATTTTTGTATTTATTTTGATATGATAAATGACAAAATGTATAAAAATAATAATGTAATATCACATGCACTCTAATACCCAAAATACCCTCACGCATATCTATTGCGGTGAGCTTTAAGTATTACTTTTGGCCTTGGGACAAAATTTTGATATTTTTTAATAGTCCGGGGATTAAATTAGGGCACTATTAAAGTTTGGAACTAAATTGGGCATTTACTAATAGTCGGGAAATTATTTTGGGCTTTTAATCTTTTTTAATATTAAATGTTAGCTCTACTTATAATATTGTTTTATTCATGACAAAGGTTACAGGCTCTGTTGAACAGCCCATTGTGGATGGATCTGCATCATTTCACAGAGCAACTGTCTCTTCACCTGCATTATGGAAGCCACTAACTAATTTTGGAGGTACCGTTCACGTTATATCAAACAGGATATGCATCAGTTCTGTGGAAGGCAGGGTGAGTAGGAAGGGAAAGCTATCGCTCAAAGGGAATTTGCCTCTCAAGCCAACCCAATCATTTGTTACAGATAAGATAGAGCTTAAATGTGATTTCCTGGAAGTGCGGATGAAAAATTTTTTCAGGTTCTAAAATGCTTTTAACAAGATAAATTTCCTAAAGAAAATGCATTTTCCTTTAAAGTATTCCTATAAATATATGCACACGCACAAAAACATCCCAAATTAGTCCCCAGACTATTCTTGTGGGTTGATTTAGTCCTAGGGTATCACAGTTGTTGACTCCTATGTGCAAAAACACACAAAACTAGGTGAAATTGATGCATGTTGCATCACTTGAAAGTCAAATGACCTCCAATCTCCAAATAGACTGCGCCATTGTGATCAGAGTGTCATATTCGCCTAAATGGGAACCCCTCCCCATCAAATCGAACGGAATCGATCAAAAGGGACAACCGACACCCGAAATTGACGAGCAACGTTGCCCAAATGACGTCTGATTGTGACACGGACTACGTCGTCACGTTTGGAACTCCAACAATATCCAAAATCAACTGTAATCTTGCCCAACTGACTTCGTCCGACGAAATCTTCAATGCCCAAGAATGACCATAAATTTGTTCAATTAAAATTGCGCAGGAAAATCGTCGCCAAATCCAAGGCAGCAATGCGTAAATCGAGGAAATTGATGCACAAAGTGTCACGACCCGGCCCGGTTAGCTCGCGTTGGCGAGGCGGGAACAGAGGTCGGACGGTAGGTCAAGTATCTAAATTCCTAAATCTATCAATTCCCTAAATAAATCTCCAATATATTTTGAAAGAGCCACTATAACAATAAAGTTTGAAATCACATAAACATATAAGCAAACATATAAAGTTGCCCAAACAACGTCCGATCGGCAAACGGACCGTGTCGTCGCATTCGGAATGTTTGCAATATCCATAATCAACTGTAATCTTACATAATGGAATTCGTTCGACGAAATCGACGTGGATCCTGAGGCAACAACACAAGAATTGAGGAAAATTCACGCAAATCTGGCAATTTTGAAGAATTGACTCGTTTCTGTCATTTCAGAGTTTAATGATAATAATAATAATCCATTATTATTATTATTATTATTATTAAATTAAAAAATAAAATAAAATCAAATCAAAACTTAATTTCTTTGTTCTGTAAAAAATTGATGCATGCAAATTTCAGTTTATTTTTGTTTTTTATTGTAATTTGAATACTATAGTTTTTTTTTATACTATTCTATGATGGAAAACATCCAATGATCATTAGTAGGTAGTGCTTCGGCTTGGCAAACTCTTGGTGTGCTAGCTATTTTGGTTCTTTGGTCTTTAGGCTACTGGTTGATTCTCGGGTTGGGCTTGGCTGCTCGGTTTTGGGATGTGGTTTGTTGGGAGCTGCTTTGTTCTAGCTCATTAATGTTTGATCTGATATTTTAGCTCATTATTATGAAAAGTTATTTCTCTTTTTAGCTCATTATGTGGAGTGGAATCTTGCCATTTCTCCTTCTCTTTGGCTCTTCGGTTTTCCCTGTCTGGCTGCCTGTTCTGGTTCCCCTGGCTGTTGTTCCAGCTCCCCTGGCCGTCCGTTCCTTCCCCCTTGGCTGCCTTTTTCCGATTTTTTGTGTGGTTGTTCGGGTGCTGTATCTTGATTGAATTATGGTCTTCCATTTCCCCTTTTACCTGATTGGTTCGGTTGTAGGTGGCTTGGCCGTTTGGCTGCCCCCTTTTCTCCTATAAATTTGAGATGTTTTGAAGCATTAAAGGTTGTTGATTATTTGAGCAAAGTCTCTTAAAAAACCTGAGAGTTTCTTCTTTGGAAAAGTTGAGAGCTTGCTCCATTTCTCTCTTCCTCCCTACTATTTCGTCTTGGACTTCTAACCTCTTTCTTCTCTCCGCAAGTTCCACTCCACTTGTATCTTTCTTCTTGAGCTATTGGAGGTGTTGGTTGGCTGATTTGGTAGCATTTGCCGAAGGAGTTTTGGTGGACGTTAGACCTTGTAGCTATGATGGGCCATTGATTTGCAAGCCCTTATGCACTTCTTTTATATTGCCTACTTTTTTGTTGCATGTGAGAAAACCATTTGCTCGTTGTTCTGAGGGTAGTTGTTTTTATTTTTAATTTTGTTTCGTTTGTTTGGCTTTCGTTTGTTTTGGTGTTTGTTTGGATGTTAGCATTCTAGTTTTTGAATTGAGTTATGTTCTACTAGTTATGGTGTTCTCCTCTCTTGGCTCTTTCTTTCTAGTTGTTGCATTAAAAATCCCGCAAATCTCGTTGTACTGCCTCATGTCTCTTCCCGTGAATCACTGGCCTCAATCGAGCTTCGCTGTCGTTGATAAATTGAGATCGAACTAACCTTCGTTTGCGTTTTATATGCACGATAAGCTCCCGACTACAACCTTCGTTTCCAATCCTGCACACGAGATCTCCCGCCTCTCTTCTTCTTATTCTTGTATGAAAACAGCCCCATTCAAGATCTTGATCCCGTTCATCTACTGCCTCTAATCCCTATATCGAATTCAATATCCCCTCATATTACCTCCTCTGCTCTTCACTCAACATCCTGACTCCAATCCCTCTAAGTCGTGCATCCCATCTACACCCAGGCTTGGCTGAACCCCCTTGTCAGATCATAGGCCCTCTGATACCTCTCCCCTGCACTGAACGACCTCCAGAGCCCATCACCTGTGCCTGTCAAATCAGCCGCTGAACACAACAATCCATCTCTCTGGTCTTTCTCTGTCGCACATGTTGACGAATATTTTCGCATCGATTCGACCCCGATTGAGCCCGACAAAGCTCGATCGCGCCCGATCAACTCAATTGATCGTCGTCGAGGCTAAATTGACTCAAATTAAACCCCGATTTAATTAAATTAAATCAAATTAATTTAATTTAAATCAAATCAATCCAATTCAAACCCCGTCGAGCGTCGTCGAGTTCAATTCGACGCAATTCGGCACCGATTCGAGTTCAATTTCATGAAATTAGCTTGATCGGAACCAATCGGACCCAAACCGACTCAAATCGGTTTGAGTTGAGTCCAATTTGGGCTCAATTTTCAGCCCTAATTTATCAATTGGGGCTAAATCAAAATTTCAAATCAAATTCCCAAATCAAGGGTTGAGATTTTACATGAGATCTTGCCCTAAATCCTCATTCCACGTGTGAGAAGAGGGATTGGCCCATTTGGGCGGTGCTTTGTGCGCCTCTAAGAGCACGAAAGGGAGAGAGGGAAAGGGAGGATTCGGCTCTCTTTGTGTTGTCCGTCCCGACCAGAGCGAGAGAGGGAGACGGAGAGAGCCTCTCGGCTCTCTGCGTGTGGTTCCGTCCCAGACAGAGGAGCGAGAGAGGGAGAAAGGCAAGAGCCTCTCGGCTCTTGTGCGGCTTCTTCCGATCAGATAGGGGAGGAGCGGCTGGAGGATTTTCAGCCGGACCCATGCATGCTTGTCCGTCCCAAACCAGGCGGGAGTGAGAAGGGAAAGCGGAGGATTTGTCCGCTCCTGTTCTTGCGTCCGACCCAGCAGATAACAAGAAAGAGGGAGATCGGTCACTTGCTTCCTAGCTCCGCCTATTTTCTTCGTGTATGTCCGACCTAGCCGAGAGGAGGGAGTCTTGCGGCCTCATGCGTGCGTCTTGACCAAGAGGGAGTGCCGGCCAACTGCTGTTTTCCCTTTCTTTAGACTGAAAAGGGTTCTCTCTTGCTGCCATTGTTTTCTCCTATCAATTGGAGAGCAAAAATTCCCTCTTGCTGCTGTTGGTAAGCTTCTCCTCCAAAATCTAGGGCAAGGGCATGCTGAAATCAGCCCTTGCTGCAGCCAAGAGAGGATAGGAAGCCTTTACTTCCTTCCAAACCATTTCCGGCGACCACTCGACGAAGAAATCAGCCTCTGGGGGCCTTCAAACAGCAAAATCTGCTGTTTGGAACATTCTTAGACAGAAAACTGCTGTCCGAAATTTTATGATTGAGTCCATAAGGAGATGATATTTTTACCCTCCGGGGTAATATATCGTATTCTTATGCCGTGCCCGATTATAAAATATGCAATCCGTTCGAGGATACAAAAATTCTCCAACAGCACACTACTGATCTCCTCAATCCACCTGCTTGCAAACCGGACAGACCGCTCCTTCACAGCCTCACGCCTCTGCCTCAAGATCTTCCTCCAACTCAAATCCCAACCCCACTTCACGTGTAGCTATGCCGCTATTCACGATCCAGTCGACCCTCCATTCACACGCCTATACTTGATCTAATCAACTACAAGCTATACCCGATCCAACCATGACCCCTCAATCTGACGCCTCACAATCCCGCCACCAAAGCTCCACAGACAACCCAAGCCAAACTCCACGAGCTATCCAACGCAGAAATTTTCTCTCCACTACAGCCACTCAAACTTAAAGCCAGAAATCTAACATACATCTCACACAAACGGGCCCATTCCTCTCCTCCTTATTCCCTCAGCCCACAATATTTTATTGTGCACTTCAAGTAAAAGCCCACTGCAAAGCAGCCCACAAAATCGCTCTCTATAGCCACCATATGCATCCTTCTCCAACAGTAGCCTCTATCCTGCATTCCCTATTATCATTATTAGTTAGTTATTATTATAATAATTATTATTTTTGTTATTAAGTAAAAAGAGAGAGGGAGGGAGAAAAAGAGCCATAAAAAAGAGAATTCTTTTATTAAAGAGAGGAAATAAATTTCGTGCATTTTTTCGATCCTCGTGTTCTTGTTGTCGCCATTGTTCATGATCACGAAGGTATAATGTTTTCCAAACTCAAAAGGCCTTCAGATCCCTCTTTCGGCTCTCGCGGCGCACAAAAAAATCATCTATACCCATTTTTCTTAGCGTTGTAGGAGAGAACCCGGTGTGAACCTTGTGGCGAGGTGGATAAACCCTGTACATGCTTTTCTTAGCGTGGCAAGGATAATTTTTAAGTCCCCCTGTACGAGCTTTAGTGCCTGCGGGGAAAAAACTATGCATTTTAAATAGGTACCCGCGAAGACCCATACATACATTTCTTGGCATTGTGTGATTAAAGGCTATGGCCGCAGCGTCTCCCATCACTTACCGTACACGCCTTTTTTGGCTTGGTGGGGATTCTCAGACTTTTGAAATTTTTCCTAAAAGGTGAGACGCCGGGAGGTTGCTAAATTTTTCAGTAAAACAGAGGACCTGAACTTGAATAAAAGGACCACAGTGAACCAAACTTGAATAATTAATAGAGAACTGAACTTGTAAATTGAACCACAGGGAATCAGATGTAATTCCTAATACAAAATTGTAATTTGCAAGACAACAAATAAGGTGTAACAAACACAGCAACCCGCTTCCAAGCAAAGGAAAATGGAACATATAATGACACGCTTACAGTCAACAACATAAAGTTGTTATGTCAACTAAAATGCAAATATCAGCAAGCAAATTCACTATGCAAGCCACAAGCTATCTTCAAAGACAGTGAGTGTAATATCAGTTTTTGCTCCAGGTTCGTCCGGACGAAGTCGGATCGTCCGGGACGATCGGTACAGGTTGTGCAGAGAAAATATCCGTCTCGTCTCGGGTCGGGTCGTGACAGTGAGAAACTTGTGATATTTGACATTACTCGTGCACAAGAAATGACCAATGAAAATTGTAGGGAATATGATGATATGCTTAAAAACGACAGCATGAAACCTTCAATAGATTCTACTTCTCATTTATAATGATTGTATAAGTTGGAATGTAAATGCCAATAAACAATGATGGCAGTTTTACCATGCATATTATACGCCACCCTATAAACACTCAAGAAGCATGTGGTGAATATAGTGACAATTCCCTGTGAAAAAGAGCAATAGATCTACAATGAATGCAAGCAGTGGTAAAGGACCCATCCTCCACACAGTGAGCGGTCATGCTTGTAAGCAACATTGGAAGACTTATGCTTAGTGTTGCTTATTATAATGCACACAATAGCCCTTATCTGCGAGCAATGTTGAAGGATGTTGTGTTGGACATAGTTCACATCATCATGCAACGAACAATGAAGGTAGTGATTTGCCAACCAATACGCATAGGGAGATGTGCGATGAATATAGTACATCCAACAGTCAATGTTATTTTGCAAAGAAATACACCAAAATCCTGCAAATGATGATAGCCTACACGCAATGATTACAAAGTTGCCCTCATAGTCAACGTCGATTAAATAACTAGCAAATGCATAAGCCCCCAGTAGGCAAAGAAAGTTAACATGCAATGAATGCAATGGGTGGCTCAGGATAAAGCATAGTTCTCATGCAAACAATGATAAAAGAGTTGCAATACACATACTACCTACAAGCAACAATCAAAAACCCACAATAAATTCCAACACTTACAAGCCACAGTTGGAAGTTTGGCATGCATACGATAGCTGACCTACGAGTTAAAGAGGCGATGGCAGAAATCTTAAAATGCATACAACGATCATATTTACAAGTAGCAGTGATAGTAGATATGCTACACGTGTGAGTCCCCTGTGAATATAGATACACATGCAACGTACTATTTGCGATCAAGGACCGAAGATCGCATCAAATGCAGAAGAACTGCAACAAATGCAAGTACCCGCGAACTACAGTAGAAGACTCTTCGTATGCGTTACGTGTCATCTACAAGTAAATACTAAAGAACTTCAGCAAATGCAAGCTCCTACGAGCTACTATAGGAGATTCGTTAGTGCACGACAGTCTGCCTGCATAAAGTGGCAAATGATGCAAAATAAAATGCTACGATTCACATGTAAGCAAAATCAGGGAATTAGTAGTAGAAATTGCTAGCCACTGAAGCGTTATGTCACTCCATCGTATCTATAACACTCGTACAAGCAGATAGAAGGCGCCTACAGGCTTCTAAATAGAATGTTGCGCACACCCAAATGATAATCATTCGCACAACTGATAAGTGCCAAATATTTTAAAATGCCCCCATACATACATTGCAACATGCATAATAATATATTCAAATATGTCATTTGGTATTGCAAAATGCATTATGCTATAATAGTATTTTGCATTTACATGCCGACATATTATATATGCATATCGCAAACTGCTGCATTAAATCTGTGTGCAAAATGCAAAAATATTGATATACGTGCATACACCCAAATATGTTGCATATGTCCACTATATTGCATACATACAACCATTATGCAATGCATACCCGTATGGTGCCCCGACGAGCGTGTAAGAGGCACACACGTGACTCCTAAGGATGCTAAACAAGCCAAACATGAACCGTTTGAACCCGATCTTTCTACATAAATGGATAGGATTCGACACGGTTCGAACCATCAAACAAATATATGGTTGCGGTATCGACCGGAATATTTATTTTATACATTATTATTAGGCAGTTAAGGTCTATAACAAAAAAAATAAACCAACATAGGCACAAAGCCGCAAATAACTCGATCCTCTGTCGACAAATAGAAAAGAGTCGACAATGTTTGACCTTGTAAAATAAAATTGCCCATAACAATCCTAATGATGACCATGTTAACAGAAAATCTCAATAGGAGGGGACGACAAACATAAAAATGCCTCACAAATTCTCATGAAAATACAAAACTCAAAAATCACCAAAAGCCTAAGATATTTAAAATTGAAATTAATTATTAAACACTTGAAGCAAAATACATCCACCATCCGTAACAATTTGGGTTGACTACCTCCTCTGACTAAGTAGACCAAGGATCATGATGATTCGGGATGATAGAATCATGGGATTTTGATCGGATTCGTCATCATTCCCTCTACCATCTGCTTTAAGTGGAAGGTGGTCAATTTTTAACTTTAAATATTAAATTTCAAATACCAAATCATGTTACTACTATACACTAGATACTACGCACCTCTACGTATCTGGTTGACGACTAGCCTTAATCAAAACTTCTCTCTCATTATCAGGAGAGGTAATTAACTATAGGGGCTCGCGCCTATAAGAAACCTAAACTCAAATCATAATGTCCTCACAAAATGAGGGCGGAATTTTTGGGTTGTGTCTTATTTAAAACCCAATCTGCCTTCTGAAAATTTGGTTCAAAACTTAACCCTTAAAACTCTCCTCGACAACCCGAAAGAAAGAAAGGGACCGCGGAGAGGCTTGGGCACGAATTTTTGGAGCCCACAACTGTGTTCCAATTTAGTCCTTTAACTATATAAAACTGTTCAAAAATGGTCCGTCATGTCATAATTGTGATATAAAATTGATCTAAATTTAGTCTTAAAGTGGTTGTTTTAGAACAATTTTATATAATCGAGAGACTAAATTGACCATATAAGAATAATTTGGGGACTATTATACACACACATATACACATGGAAACCATTTGTCTTCATCATATAGATTACTTTCTGACTTGTTACAACCATTTTAGTGGTCAAGTTGACAGCCAAATGCAAATTATGGGTTCTATTCTGCAACCAAATATTTCTGGATTTTTTAAGTTGAGCCATGGAGAAGCATACTTACCTCATGACACGGGGAATGGAGAAGTTACTAACAGTGTTGTTTCCAAAAGAACTACCTTTCCTGCTGCTGGTTTCAGCCGTGCAACTGCTTCAGGCCATATATCAAGATTTTTTGGTTCATTGTCTGGTTCCTTACACAGCATATGGCCGGAGCCTGGAGGTTTGCTACCCAATTGATCTACTTATTTTCATTTAAGCTTGGGAAATTTGTGAACTCACTTTTGAAAATTTAGAAAGATGAATGACCAATGCTTATCATGTACAATGGAATGAGAAAACGTTTAAATGTTTATTAAATCTTTATGAAAGTCATGTTAGTCCCTGACAATCTTAAGTGTCCAATTTAATTCCTTTTACTTCTCAAATTCGATTCAAAATAGTTCCCTAACTTCCCAATTTTGATCCAAAATAATTTAAGGACTATTTTAGATATTATTTGAGGATTTAAGAGACTAATTGAACACATTCATTTGTTTCGGATTAAAATGGCCCCATACAAATAATTTAAGAATTATCTTGACCTTTTTTTTTAATTGAATTGATTTATTGCATAAAATGAAGTTTACTAATTAACCAATAAATTTATAATTTTTTGTGTTATGCTTGTGGCAATCCTTTTCTCTTTTTAAATATGTCCTCACCATTAATCCATAATTCTGGCACACCTTTGACTTTACTTTTTCATGCTTGCAAGCTTTTTAAAGAAAAAAGCTACGCTATTTTTTACTCCGGTGAATCATGAATTTTTGAAACTCGTCTGTGTGTAAACTTCATATTTTCACTGGGCATTCATGCAATCAAGTTTTGTTGGTTAAATTTCTTTTTAGTTTCCTTTCTTTGTTATTAAATGGTTTGACAATTGATGTCAACTCTGTCAAATGTGTAGGCAAACATTCCAACGTTGAGGAGAAGTTAGAGGTGGAAAATGCTAATCCAGGGATCGATGCAAGGCTTACTGATCTGAAGTTAGTTCTTGGACCTGAACTAAGGATAGTATACCCCTTAATCCTAAACTTTGCCGTTAGTGGAGAACTTGAGCTTAATGGTATAGCTCGTCCAATGTATGTTAAGCCTAAAGGGATCTTGATGTTTGAAAACGGAGATGTTAATTTAGTTGCTACTCAGGTGCGTTAACAGTTTCAATTCACTTGTATAAGTTAGGCTTCATTTGGGATGGTTTTCTTATTGCTTCTTAAAGCAGCTTTTTAGTTAAAAATTTATTTATTTTATTCTAGAAAGCTACTTTAAGAAACAGTAAGAAAACAGTCCCAAACGAAGCCTTAATTGTTTGCCTATCAAACTAATTGGAAAAAAAAAAAAAGCTCAGCAAAATTTACGACTGTGCATGAGGGAAAAGTAATTGTTACTTTTATTTTTAAAGGTTGCGTTTTGGCGAAGCTGCTTTTTGATTGACTTTTAACCGCAGGTTCGGCTTAAACGTGATCATCTAAATGTTGCCAAGTTTGAGCCTGACCTTGGCCTAGACCCTATTTTAGATTTAATATTGGTGGGATCTGAATGGCAATTCAGGATCCAAGGTCGTGCCAGTTCTTGGCAGGACAATTTAATTGTTACATCAACTCGCTCGGTGGATCAGGATGTTCTCACACCTAGTGAAGTAAGTGAACGATAGTATTTTGTGTCTTTTGCTATTACGAATATGCTAGCTACTTGTTTGTTTGGAAGATTTGCATTTTATGCTGGATGATCCACTGTTACTTTCTGCGCTTTGCTTCTCTGATGCTATAGTTCACCTTGTAATGTGATACACGAGTGTATTGTGCTTATAGTGATCCTCAAATATGACAATGCCGTTTTATTATCTGCATTTTTTTTAGAAAAAGTGCACCTAAATTGGAAATATCAAATCAAGAACAAGTATGATGCACCACAAAATAACTCAACATTAAAATTTATTATGGTTATGTCTAAGTAAGCTTACATCCATGAGAGCTGAGAGATGATTCAATCCACTAACAAAAATTCACAATCGTGATGTATAGTAAATGGATACTTATCAACTCTTTGTAAAATCAAGTATACCCTCACTCAACAAAGAAAAGAGAGCCCCAAGTCTCTAAAGACAATTAAGAGAGTACAACTTAGGCGAGATAACAAAGATAGAGGATTAAATAAATACTAGAAATTTTCGAACTTCATTAGTTCTTCTAATGGTACCTTTGATTTTTCTAGATGATACTTTGAATTCCCAAAACAAATTTCCTGTGATTTCTTTCTCTTTCTTTCTTCTTCTCTCCACTATTTTCTCTTTTGAATTTCTTCTCATCTCCTATTTTATAGCACAAAAGAAATTTGATATCTACCTTACCGGATGATACATATATAAATATTGAGTCAATACCTAACAAGTTTTCTAAAAGGCTGGCTTTGGTGGATTGGTTGGTTTGCCCCACTCTAACCTAGATGTGTCAGAACTAAGTATAGCAAGTGTCTCGCTATTCATGATGGGTAAGGGCAGATGAATCAACTTTTTGTAAAGTTTTCATTGGCAAAAAAGCTTATGTACTTGGTAGGGCTCCCTTTTTTTTAATTATTAGCTTTTGGGGCTTTTAAGTTGTTTAATTCTTAAAGCATTATGAGTATTGCCTTATTTTATAGAAAAACAATCTTGTTTCTGCTGTAATTGAAGATTTAACCTTCTTGGATATTTTTGTAGATAGTTTTAGAAAGATTCCTTGAAGAATTGTAACTTTGTATAAAAATAATTGATAATGGTCTAATTGTATTAAGATAAAATGCTAAACGAGTATATACGTGATAAGGTTCGAGTAGCTCCAATAGCAAATAAGATTAGAGAGTCGCATTAGATGGTTTGGTCACATAAAATGTCGGCTCTCCGATTACTCTGTTAGGAGAGAAGTGTAATAGATTCAGCCTATGTTAAAAAAAAATACAGGTAAATCTAAAAAGGCTTGGTTAGAATGTATTAAAAATAATTTTTTATTAGATTTTAATGAAAATTTAGCTTTTAATAGAACACATTGAATAAAAAAATATTTATGTTGCCAACCCCACATATATAAAGACTTGTTCTTGTTATTGTTGATGTTTTTCTTGATGTTGTTGTATTATATTTTAAGATCAATGCATTTGAAGGTTGGCAAGAAGAAGTCTGATCTTTGTCAAAGATATGGAGATGAAAAGTATATAATGGAAAAGTTCATCTAAAGGAGAAGGGAACTAAAATGACTTGTACGCAAAACTAAAATTCTCTTTGGAAGAGAGGAAGCGTCATTGAAATCAAGGCGCTCGGAGACAGGCTTCTTGAAACCCTAAGTGGAGAAAGTTCACAATCTTTCAATCATTGAGCCTAAAAGGATATACTAGGGTTGTTCATAGGAATAACATGACTTGAATAATTACTTGATAGCCTTTGCATCTCTTAGATAGCAGTCATTTCTCAGTAAGAAGATATACACCCCTAACTAAGATGATGCAGGACCAGCATGGATTTCAATTGAATTATCATTCTGTTTTTTTAATTAGTTTAATTTTTAATCTTATTTTAAGTATCATTAATAATACGGGCATTGGTCAATCTTATTTTAATTGTTGAAACTTTTGGGATTGAACTTTGTTGGGCTATTGTTGGTTTCATCTACTTCTTTGTCTCTGTTGTAGGGACTACAACATGGGACCCTAACTTGTAAGATATTGTATGGGATTTGAGTACTTTTATATGGTAATCTTGATGCTTTCTTTCTAATTTTAGTTTGGAATTTAATTTTTGAAGCATTGACATGCAACGGATTTAGGATAGCTTATGCTGAGGTACATGAGGTATATTTTTGTAGGTCTCCATATAAGATAAAAATGATGCTGTTATGCAACTCTAATATAGTAATTATAAATAAATTAAAACAATTACAATCACCTTTTAGTGCAAAAGATTTTATGAAATTATGTAGAGATCTAGACAACTACAACAATTTTTTTCTTGTAGGAATAACTAAAATGAGGAACTAGAGGATGCGAAACTTTGTTTGAAGTGGAGAAGAATGCATTAAGATCTAATGGTTTTAAAACCTTTCATCAATCTCAGTGAAAAAGATAATAAATGCATGTAAATGAAGAGAAACATTAAGGAATTGAAGATAAGATAGAAGGATAGAAACTAGATCATTGTTGTATAATTTCATTAAACAATTCAGATTGTTGTTTTTATTGGCGTATAAGTAAAACTGAAGTTAGAGAGGCTTTAAAGAAAATGAAGTGTGGAAAAGCTGTTAGACCTGATGATATTCCAATAGAGATGTGGAAATGCTTAGGAGATGAAGGAATTTCTTGGCTTACTAAACTTTTTAATATTATTTTGAAAACTAAAAAGATGTCAGATCAGTGGAGAATGAGTGTGTTAATTCCTATTTTTAAAAATAAAGGTGATTCACAGGAGTGTGCGAATTATAGAGGAATTAAGTTAATGTGTCATACTTTAAAACTATGGGAGCAAGTTATGGAGCATAGGTTGCGACATGATACTAATGTTTCTCAAAATCAATTTGGTTTCATGTCGGGTAGGTCTACTATGGAATCTATACATTTATTGAGAGGTTTGATGGAGAAATATAGAGAGAATAAGGAGGATCTACATATGATATTTACTGATTTAGAGATAGCATATGATAAAGTTCCAAGAGAAGTGCTATGGAGAGTTCTTGAAAAGAAAGGAGTTAATAATGCTTATATTCAAATCATTAAAGATATGTATGCATGAGCTATTACTTGTGTTCAAACACATGGTGGTTTGACCAAGTATTTTTCTATTTCGGTTGGATTACATCAAGGATCAGCCTTAATTCCATATCTTTTTGCTTTATTCATGGATGTTCTCACTAGACATTTGCAAGAGGATGTACCTTGCTGTATGTTTTTTGCTGATGATATTCTTCTTGTTGATAAGACTAGAGAGGGAGTTCAAGGTAAACTTGAATTATGGAGGTCAACTTTAGAGTCTAAAGGTTTTCACTTGAGTAGATCTAAAACTGAATATATGGAGTGTAATTTTAGTAGCAATAGACCTAGTGAGGGGATTGTGACTTTAGGCAATCAAGTCATTAATAAGAGTACACGTTTTAGATATATTGGATCTGTTGTTCAAAGTGATGGTGAAATTAATGGGGATATTATCAGCAGAGTTCAAGTTGGATGGTTGAAGTGGAGGAATGCATCGGGCTTATTGTGCGATAGAAAAGTCCCCCTCAAACTTAAGGGAAAATTCTATAAGATGGTGGTGAGACCTGCAATGCTTTATGGTGCCAAATGTTGGCCTTTAAAAGAGAAGCATAATACTAAGTTAAGTGTTGCAGAGATGAGGATGCTTAGGTGGCTGAGCCGCTTGATCCTTAGAGATAGGATATGAAATGAGCATATATGTGAAAAGGTTGGAGTAGCTCCAGTGGAAGATAAGATTAGAGAGAGTCACCTTAGATGGTTTGGTCATATTAAACGGAGGCCTTCCGATGACCTAGTTAGGAAAGTTGAGGTATTAGATTTGACTTATGCTAAGAAAGTTAGGTAGACCTAAAAAGAGTTGGTTAGAAAATATTAGAAATGATCTTTCTTTATTAGATTTAAATGAGAATTTGATTTTTAACCGGACACAATGGCGAAAAAGGATTCATGTAGCTGACCTCACGTGGTTTGACAAAGGTTTGATGTCGTTGTTGTTGTAATTCATATTTGGCATGAAACTACACTTGGCTTCTTCATGGAGGGGAAGTAAAGCCATGTGCTTTTATTTCATAATCAAATTGGGATTTTCCTAAATTCTCATAAAAATAAAGTAATGAGAATAAATTTGGAATTTATTTGGTGATTTTCATCCTCATATCATGTGGTATTCTCAAATTATAACAAGATATTTTCTAACACTCATACACATGCAAAAATGCAAGAACTGGTGAGGGCACAATACATGACTAAGACCAGAAAAATGTTCAAAATTATTGCATGACTATTACTACAAGAGCACTCAGTACTAAAATAAAGGACTCAAATTCAAAAGATGTTAAGTTATCAGTGTCATGCCCTTGTGCTTCCTTTTACTTATATAATTTTGTTCCACATCAAGTGATCAATATGATTGACCTTCTTTTTAATCATACTTAAGATTAATATAAGTTTTCATTATTGGGCGTGTGTGCACGCCTAAATATTGTCATTTTAACTAATGTGTGATTTTATTGAGTACAATGAATCATGTGAATATAAACTTGAGGATTCAAAAATTTTGTTTACATGATACTTATTTAAGCATGCCATGATTATTCGACAAGTTTTACACTGGCTGTCGACTACCTAACGCAACCCTCAACTTTTCTCATCCAGGACTTGGGACCTGGCAATGGCAGTGTTGTTGTTGTTGTTGTTGATACTTATTTAAGCATAGCATTAGGCCTATTATTCTTTTTTTTATTTAAGGAGATTTACATTTTGCAGGCTGCAAGGGTTTTTGAGAGTCAGTTAGCAGAGTCTTTGTTGGAAGGTGATGGACAACTAGCCTTCAAGAAACTTGCTACTGCAACACTTGAAACTTTGATGCCAAGAATAGAAGGAAAGGGAGAGTTTGGGCAGGCACGTTGGAGACTAGTTTATGCACCACAGATCCCTAGCTTGCTTTCTGTGGATCCTACTATTGACCCGCTTAAATCATTGGCCAGTAATATATCTTTTGGAACTGAGGTTGAAATCCAACTTGGGAAACGTCTTCTGGTAATTTGCTACAACTATAAATGTTGTTTTATTTTACGTTGGAACAATTTTTCTGGTGCTTTGTTTTTCCTTCCCTTTTGGTCTTCTCATATATACCTAAGATTATATTGCCTTTTTTATTTATTTTTAAAAGCCAGTTGTTATTGTTATTAAGTCATTTACTTGCAGGCATCAGTTGTTCGACAAATGAAGGATTCTGAAATGGCTATGCAATGGACTTTAAGTTATCAGCTTACAGATCGACTCCGTCTTCTTTTTCAGTCCGTGCCATCCAATCGTCTATTGTTTGAATACTCTGCAATATCCCAGAAGTAGCAAGTGGGTGGTTTCTAACTATTCATTTCATGGTAATTTTGTTTTATATTTTGTATAGTTCAAAATGAAGACTGCTACATTTATGCTGCACTTGTGCTCTAATACCTAAGAGTACAACATTGTAGGTATCTAAACTAAGTTATAGTTATTAGAATGGAGAACGTTGAAACAATTTACTACAATCTTTTCTTAGAACGTTTAACTTAGTCAAATGCAGTTGGATGAGATCATGTCAATTTGGTTTTAAGTGAATTAAGAAGCATCGTCGCACCAAATAAGAATGATATTGGGATTGTAGAGGCAAAGTTAGCATTGGAAGAACAAATGCATGAGTGATTTAATGTAGCGGGCATATAAAAATGCATGCCATATGTTTGTGTTAAATTCAAAAAATTGGAGAGGGGGAAACAAATAACTACATAATCATGCATAATTGTCTTAATATAATTCTTTATAAATCAACCACCCAAAGATAGAAGGAGATCGGCATGATCCAAGTAAGCCTCCAACAAATTCTCATTCTGATCGTGGGATCAAGTGTCAAGGGATGGCAAGAATTTAATAGAGATCAGCATGATCTAGGTGAGCCTTCCATGGATTCCCATCCTCGCCGTGGGATCAAGTGTCAAGGGACGAATGGGATTTTAACACTCTCTCTCAAGCTGGAGAATACATATATGTCATTCCCAGCTTGATAATTAGCACAGAAAAGTAGAGTTATCAAGTCTCTTGGTAGTAATCGAGCAACCTAGGTAGGGTCCACTCCAAAGGAAGGAAAAAGAGGGGGGTGGGGGGTGGTGAATACTGTCCAAGGGATTGGAAAGTATCCCAGTGCTTTGGCAGCGATTTAGCTAGGTTGAGGCGCCCCCTATAAGACCCAATGTAGAACCTCAACAGTAACTAACTAAGCAGTAGTCATCCCCGCCAACCTTCCTATCCTTCTTTCGCTTCCTTGTTGATTTGCAATATGTCTCAAACGTTGAAGCTTTTTAGTAAAAAGATTCTTAGAGATTCTAGCTTTTCTTGGTTGGTGCCTCCTTGGGCTCTGGCGAAACATCTCTATAGGAAACTTCAAATGAATGTTGGAAAGATCATTGTCCATGCTGCTTGCTTGGAAGATTCACCAACATCCTGTTTTATGTGAGATGCATCAAAGGAAGGGGAGCAAGTCTTCTTCTTATTAATTCCTTCATTGGAAGACTTTTTCTTTTGTTTCCTGGTTCTTCTTGTTGTTACTAAACACCAAAGCCCATAGCTTTCTGAATTTTCCACACCACCACCAAGTTGAGAAATCAGAACAGGTTCTCTCTCACTTTGCTAATTTGTAATTAGCTGAACATGAGAGTGGTCAAGCTCCATATGGCGTGGTTGGAAGGCTGACTAAATCCTGGAATAAGAGACCGGGTCATTGCTCACCTTGGGAGAGCTTCCATAGTGACATGAAGGTCACTAGAAGAGGGGATGCTGCAGTTTTTGTGCAAAACAAGAGGCTGAGGGCTGCATTTGGGCTGCTTTGGATGCATTTCAGCAGAAATTCTTTGTGCTTCATGGTTAGTTTGCTTGGGTGACATTTCGAATTAGGCAATCGTGAACGGAAGCAACTCGATGGACCTCTCCTGCTTAGTTTCTTCGCCTTGCCGCGAATGAAGTGGGTAGGTTGTACAAAATAATCAATGTTGGTTTATTATCAATATCACTATTTGTTTTCTTCTAGTAGGGCTATATGATTTAGATGTTGATTTTCTTTAAGTTTAAATCTTCATTCCTGGTGCATTCTATCTTCCTTTAAGCTTTACAAGTTAAGAATATAGCTGAAAAATGTGTATGCGTTTTCATTTATTCTATTTACCGTTACTTTAAACTCCTGTATGTTTCATCTTCTCTTCATTTGTAGAGAAAAATATTAACTACTGTATCTTTTATGCTCTCTAAATTTGTTGAGAATCCATTTAAAGGTTCTCATTTGCGGTTTCTCCTATGCGCTAGCATGGTTGAGGATACTCTTTGTACTTTTCTTCTGAATAATATCAATTTATGATGAAAGCTTTTTTTTATTTTAAGTTTTACTGTGGTAATCTTTCTGCCATTAATTTCTTTTTGCAGTACCTATTGCCATGAGAACAATAACGCACGGTACATAGCAGCCATTTGCCACCTTCCTACTTTACTGGAGCTTCAGGCAATTTTTCGGTAAGCAGATAAGCAATCTTGCATTGAATGCAATTTGTAAATTTTTTTATTTTTTTACATTCTGTAAATTAATAGATTGTTCTTTAGTGAAAGACGGATGGCATATTGATCCTTGACCACCATCCGTTCAATGAAAGGAAAATTCTTTGGCAATTCAGTTCATTTTTTTATTATTATTGAAACTGATATTGATAATTGAATCTTAGATGATACGATAATCATCATAAAATACAAGATCAAGATTATTGATGTCAATCCATAATTTCATAATAACTTGATGATCTAATTTGATAATTTCTTTATGAAATTTGACCATTAATACATCCTACCAGAAGTATTATTTACAAGTAATTTTTTTCAAATCAAATTCATTAAAATTATTCTTTATGTTTCTTTATTCATGACAAAAGAACTTTGATAGGAAATACTTGAGTTCGCAAGTAATCCTATCAGAATACTTTAGTCGCAAGCAACCCTAACAATAATTAGTAAAAACGGCGGAAATGAACACAAAACACCAATGAACCAACTCAAAATAGTAAATTTTATTAGATAATATCAAGCAAAGCAAACATAAAGCAAAGATACAATTGATCCTCAATTCGAGAGGGGGGATCGTTCTCTCCCAATCTCTAGACAATAAGTCTAGAGTTCAAGACCCCACAAGACTTAAAGAGAAAACAATAATCAAGCATGCCCTAACCCTTACCTCTCATGCTTTTTTATAGCATAAATTTTCTAATTAAAAATTCCCTCCTAGCCTTAGCCGCCCATCCCCCTCTTGCCAAAATTAGATTAATTCAAATTAATTCAAATAGTGGACCCCTATTATTGGGCGGCAACCAAATAGGGTTGTGGGCCCCTATGGCTTAGGCGGCACCATGGGAGGCGGTTTGACCCGCCTCCTGTACACAAGGGTCGACCCCTATGGGGCCGGCTGGGTCGGTTCAGGAACCGACACATCAGTTTGATTTGAGTACCTTACACTACAAATTAATGAATCATCAATGTCCACTTTGGAGAGTATTCTGCCCTTTCGATGAACTAACCACATTTGTATATAGCTTGCTAGCTTAAATGGGAAGAACCTGTTGTGGCAGCAGTAATCTATGTTATGTGGATTCAACCTCTGGACGCGATTTCCATATTGAAATCCCAGTATGCGAACGCAATATCAAGCAGATATTGCGTTACCTCAGCAGGGTCTGTAGTATTGTGCATCAGTTATTTGACCTCTTCAAGACTGCAGTAACTAAAAAATACATTTATTGCTGTTAGAATTTCTTTGGTCAAGTTCAATGTCTCACACATTTGCTCTTCTTCTCTGTGCCAAGTATCCAGGATGGATTATTATCAAATTAGGCTGCAGCAGGTATGTAGAATTAATGATTTTTTTTTTTTCATTTTTTTTGTAAATATCCTACTGGTATTAATGGAAGATATGCTGCTATTTAGATTTTGATCTTGAAGATTTGGGCTTCGTTTGGGACGGCTTTCTTATTGCTGCTTAAAAATAGTTTTTTTTTACAAAAATTAAAATTTTTGTACTAAAAAAGATGCTTTAAGAAAAAAAGATGTTTTAAGAAGCAGTAAGAAAGTTGCCCCTTAAGCTTCGTTTGAAATAGTTTTTTACTATTATTTTTTGGTTGTTTTCAAGATATTTTTGTACTGAAAAATTGCTTCTAAACGAGGCCTTGGTTGGTAGAGAATTCTTTTAGTTTTAGTTTGTGTTGTATTTTACCTTATTGTTAGGATGAGAATAATTTGGTAAGATGGATTTTTTTTAAGGTTATTAAATTTGTGAAGCAATGGAGAAGGCACATGCATTTTATTGAAAATATAAATTTGGAGATGGTTGGGGTTTTTATAGATGGCTACTTTAAATCTCTTTTTAAGTTTTACCATATTTGTATCTCTTCGAACGCTGGTTCTTTGTTTTCATGCACATGCAAACATATTATATCTTCGAACGCTGGTTCTTTGTTTCCATGCACATGCAAACATATTAGAACAAGCGAGAAAAGAAGGGAAGAAGAGTTGGTGGCTTGAGCCAGGCAAGTTTATGAAAGCTTTTCTTCCTTATTTTGAGGTTGTTTGGTAGCAAGTATTTCAATAATTGTAAATTGAATAGAATGTATTTTAATAGGAGGATGAGATTTTTTTCTTTTTATTTTCCAAAAAAGGGAAATTTATTTCATCAATAAAACGAGGATATAAGTCCAACGAAGGACAAAACAAAATATTACAAGACTATATCAGAAAAATAGAGATAACTGACAGTAAAGAAAACACAAGTCAGTCAGGCTCAATTAATGGCAAGAGGCTTTTTGTAACCACCCAGAAGGAAGACATGAACCATTCAGAGGAGAAAACAAGCAACACCCTCCCACACAGATGAAGTCACAAAATGAACAAGCAGACACTCACATCCCAAACAAGCATCACTAATGGTTGCCAACAAGTCATGATTGTCCAGATGGTGAGCAAAAAGTCGTCTCATCATTGCTCGAGTCACAAATTCACCTACAAAGGCAACCCCAGCATCACAATCCAATCCAACAAACGTCAACACCATCCACAAAGCCTAAACGCCAACCAATCAAAAAACAAGAAGAACCAAACAACTAAAACTAACCGCGAATGCCATAATTCAAACAGACAGAAAAGCCCAATAGAATTATTTTTCTTCATTTTCTTCGACAACGCTTGCCATCACCATGTGAGAAAGCTTTGTCAACAATACGACTCACTTTCAAACTATATAATTCATGAAACTTGTCAACTGGATCAATGATGAGATTTTTTCTTTATAAAACCCTAGTGACCCAATAGGGTTGAGATCAATTTCTAGAAGGATGAGATTTTTGGTGTTACATCGCTCATGTTGCCTTCTTTTGATTAGGCGGATTTTGATTTCGATAAAATTAAGGTTTCGTTTGGGATAGCTTTTTTACTACTTTATAAAGTAGTTTCTTAGTATAAAATTTTTTTTAACGTGAAAATTACTAAGGGTGCGTTTGGGACGGCTGCAGCTGTCGGTAAAGCAGGTTGTGAAGTTGTTGTCCAGAAAGTTGCTTTCTAAAATTGCTGTACAAAAATCAATACATTTTGTTTGGGTAGTATAACTGTTGAGTTGTTGTACTGCTGCTGTATGACAACAAATTACCTTGATACCCTTTTATACATTTAGATAAATATAATAATCAACTAACATTTATGAATTAAAATTAATTAATTTTATCAAATCTTCTATAAGTTTATATATCAAAATACTATAAAATTTTAACTTAACTTTTTCTAATCATACTTCAAATAAATTTGTTATGTTTTTATAGATTCTCGATTATTATTTTATAATAAAATATTTTTTCATATAATAATAAAAATATGTTTTGATTGATCTTTGTTAAAAAATTATAAGAATCCTAAATATTTTAAGTCGATTATACCCAAATAATTCATGTGAAATTTGTGCCTAATTAAATAATTTTTTTCGCAACCATGACATTGTGAGAGCTTATATTGAATGAAATCAAATTTAGATTTATCTCTCCTTAAAAAAGGTCAAAATATTTGATAGTTGGCAAACCCTAAATAAAAATATGCAAAGGTTGGGTTTATTTGGTTTTCTCCTATTTGATTTTTAATATATATGTTATAAATAGATATTTGTAATGGTTTGATAAGGTTTCTAAATAAAAGCTTAATAAATATCATATAAATCTAATTTTGATGGCGTTAAATATCATTTAAATCTATAAATATCTAGAGACTTATTTAATTGTGTGCATTTAATCAATTTGAATGGTCTTCTACTCTACTTTATGAATTAATTAATAAATTATTTTCTGTTGTAAAACACAGTAAAATTGAATCAAATAAATTATTTTTTGAATTAAATTAAATTTTATTTTTTGTCAGTTGAGTTTGATTTTGGAAGATCATAAATTAATTTTTTTTTTGTCATCTTTTCAAAAAAATTAAAAACAAAATTAACTATTAACAAAAAATAAATAAAGTTAACAGTATAATTAATAAATTTAGCGGTTTAATCTGGTTTTTTAATTTTATCCGATCAATGCACACCCCCAAACCAATCTAGTAATATAAAATAAATTATAATAAAAAGTTTTATAGATTCAAGATTGTTAATTAAAAATTATATTATATTTAGTGAAATGATAAAATAACACATTGAAAGCATTTGATATATATTTCCATGTTTCCATACACATTACCATGTCAGGTTTTGATCTAATCCAAAGTTAACTTGACTCGATCCAAATCTTACTTATTCAACCAAGTTCGGCAGGTTCTAAGTTCAACTGGGTTCGTGATCGGTTTTTAATATGTTCTTAGTCCAGTTTTAAAAATCTTGGTGTAACCTAAATACAATTTATTTAAGGGATTTTTACATACATAACACTTTAAACCATTATAAATACATATTTAACACTTAAACTTTTGTATTTACTGATATACCACCTAAATTCTTCTTTTTCATCTATTCTAGCACTCCGACGATTGCGAAGATGGTGATGATGATCGGTGTTCTGTAAATACCTGTGGAATTGCTCATACAAATTCTTGACCTGCCGCAGCCGTTCTCCAACCAAGTTCTCGAGAATGTCCTTGAACATGTGCTGTTTTTCTTTCTCACCGCGATCACAACGCCGTTTCCCTGGTCTGCAAGTCGTGGTTCCGCGTTGAGGCCCAAACTTGGCTTGAGCTGTTCAACGGTAACTGTTACGCAGTCAGCTCAGCCTGCACTATCGGTCGCTTCCGTTGGATCCAGTCTCGTGTGTTAAAAGGAAATCAACGCTTCGCCGATTTTAATCTGGTTCCATTGGGATGGGGACAGTGAGCAAGCATGAGGATGTAGCAGGTGCAAATAGAGCTAATTGGGGGAGAGTAAGGGATATAGGCGAAGTGAGTTAAGCTAATGCTCTTTGATATAAAATTACATGTCACAATCAAATCATTACCGAAGAATCCATTTCGATATAGAGAACTGGAAAATCTGCTTAAAAATTCCATATATGTTTATGGACTTGGACAGATCAAAGTTCCATCTCTGTTTATGGACTTGGATAGATCGCACTCCATTTGCCGACGAGTATTGACCTAAGAGCACGAAGAGGAGTAGGAGAACAAAGAGGTGTCATTAGAGACAGAGAGATCGAGAGTTTACGGGTTTAGAAAGATGATACAGTTTGCAACGAGTAGGTGATGAGCTGAGCGTTGGTCCCGCCTCCTGCCCCGGCGACGCCATTGATGAGGACGTCCGGCATCAAAGTCCACGCCGACGACGAACGCCGGCGGCGGAGAGATCAGAAAGCGGTGGAAACATAATAGGTATAAATTCCTTGTTTCGTATGAACTAAGAAATTGGACTCCCGGACTCGGTAAGTGTCCGCACCATTTTGAAGCGACGATGGAAGGGGCGACAGCCCGAGAATTTGGATGAGCAATTACGCAGGTATTTACAGAACACCGATCATCATCGACGTCATTGCAGTCGCCGGAGTGTTAGAATAGATGAAAAAGTGTGTTTTAGATGGTATATTAGTAAATATAAAAGTTTAGGTGTTAAATATGTATTTTTAATAATTAGATCAATTCTAAGTCAACTTTGAGATTTTAGGTTAACCTAAATTGACCTAAATCATTTGAGATGTGAGTCCAAACCATTAAGAATCGAGCCAAAGATGAGATTATCAGACCCCATTATTTATTGACAGTTCACACACCAAGTGGTAGTTTTTGGTTTACAGCAAACTAAGGGGCTGTTTGGTATGGGATTTAAGGCCGGATTCGGGCGAAATCCAGCCAAACGGCCTAAAATGCAAATCCAAATCTCACGGTAATTGGAATCCGCGGTTGATGGAAAAAGCCCAACTTTTGCGGTAAATGCCGGATTTCGCACATCCACCGATTCGACGGATTTAACTTCTTATTTGCACGAGAGGATTTAAGGCCGGATTCGGTGAATGGTAAATCTTTTAACTGCCTTAAATCATGACTTGTATAGCCAAACAGTCACACATGATTTAACTGGATTTATCATGAATGTTACCAAACAGTTTTCAGGATTTATCCCTCTAGGATTTCGTAAATCCGGATTTGGAGGATTTACGAAATCCTACTTGAATGAAATCCTAGATTCTACCAAACAGCCCCAATCCTTTATTCAATGAGAGATATTCAAACCGCCGATTATCCCGCACTGGTTCCCTCCAAAATTAACAACCCCGAAGTCGCCGGAGCTGCTCCTTCCCTCCACCGTCAGCCACCGCAGACAGCTCCTTCGCTTCGTTGCCAATCCGTTGAACCCTTGTTTGTAATGGATTCAAACGCCAAAAACTAATTGCAGTCTATTTCTGAATTCTCCTTCCACGTATCTCTCTACACCACAAATTCCATGGCGCCCCGAAAATAGAACAATGTTGAGCGGCCAATTACCCATTGAATCACCACCGTATGTTCTTCCGCGGTAGAGCGGACGACCGCTCAAGAATCACGATCATCTAACCACCGTCGGCCGCAGCCGCCATGGTCCGCCGCGCCTCCCCTATCTCCTCCGCCTCCGCTGCATCGGAATCAGAGGCCTCCGTCTCCTCTGGCAACAGCGAGATCGAGTGGCCCTTCGGTGCCCGTCTCGGCACGCTCCGCCGCACCGAGCTCCGGGAAACGGCCTATGAGATCTTCTTCATGTCCTGCCGCTCCTCTACCGGCGGCGGCGGTAGTGGAGGAAGCAGGGGAAGCGTCGCGATCATCGGTAGTGGCGGGGAGATGGTGGAGGTCTTGCCGTCTCAACAGCCGGCGGCGGTTGTCGGACCCAAAGGCGGAACGGGGATGATGGTGGTGACGAGCAGGGTAAAGAAAACCCTAGGGCTAAAAGCTCGCCGACCGCCTCCTATGCGAACGATGAATCCAATGGGGCTGACATCGGTGGCGACTGGAAACCCTTCCGCCGTACCCAATTCCCCTGGCCGGAACGCTGTGCCGAGCTCCCCCAGTAGGATCAAGAGACCGATGACCTCCGCCGAGGTTATGCGGCGGCAGCTTCGCATTACGGATCAGAGCGAGAGCCGATTAAGAAAAATCTTGATGAGAAACTTCATTGGACAGGTATATACATTTATGCTTCAAATCAACTAATTTAACACCAGATTACATCAATTTGATCCCATGGCAGAGTGGAAGAAAAGCAGAGACCATCATCCTACCCCTTGAACTACTCCGCCACCTGAAGCCCTCGGAGTTCAGCGACAGCCAAGACTATCACCAATGGCAACGACGCCAACTAAAGATTCTGGAACTCGGCCTTCTCCTCCACCCCTCTCTCCCCCTCGACCGCCTCAATGCCGCTGCTCTCCGATTGCGGGAAATACTACGACTAAGTGAAACCAAGCCCATTGACACCAGCAAGAACTCCGAAGCCATGCGCAGCCTTACCAGCGCCGTCACTGCCCTTGCTTCGCGCAGCTCCACTTCTTCCTCCACCGAAAGCTGCCATTGGGCCGACGGATTCCCCCTCAACGTACATCTCTACCTCGCCCTCCTCCAATCCATATTCGACCTGCGAGAAGAGACCGTCGTCCTCGATGAAGTCGACGAGCTCCTCGAATTAATGAAGAAAACATGGTCTACCCTCGGCATCGATAGAAGGATTCATAACTTATGCTTCACTTGGATTCTATTCCAGCAATACGTCACCACCGGCCAAGCCGAGCCGGACCTGATTAAAGCGACGCTCAATATGCTTGTACAGGTCGCCAATGACGCCAAGTTCACAGAGCATGAGCTCAGCTATGTCAAAGTCCTCTCCGGCGTACTTGCGTCGATGCAAGGGTGGGCAGAGAAGCGGCTGTTAGATTACCATGAGAAATTCGACAAGGGAACAACTGGAAACATGGAAACCATCCTCTGCCTCGCGCTCTCCACCACCAAAATCATCGTCGAGGATCTCTCCGGCATGGCCATCGCCACGCCAAGTCTTGTTGAGCGGGAACCTCCCGGCAGCTCCGCCGCCAGTAGGGTGGAATTCTACATTCATAAATCCCTCCGCAACGCCTTCACCAAGGCGTTCGAGACAGGTCACGGGCATGTGGATAGCATGATCGTGGAAGTAGATGAGGATCCCGGTGACATTTTAATCCAGCTGGCTAAAGACACGGAGACCCTTGCAGCCACGGAGAAGGAGATATTTAGCCCGGTGCTCCGGCAGTGGTGTCCGGCGGCGGCGGGGTTGGCAATACTGACGCTTTATAACTGCTTTGGCGTCGTGCTGAAGCAGTATTTGGCTAAGGTGAATAGTCTCAGTAATGGGCTTGTGCGTGTGCTGCACTGCGCGGGGAGGTTGGAGAAGCTGCTCAAGCAGATGGTGGCGGATGATGCCGCTGATAGGGACGACGGTGGGAGGAGTTTGGTTGACGAGATGGTGCCTTATGAGGTCGACGCCATTGCTGCTGGACTTCTCAAGGCTTGGATGGACGAGCGGCTGAGAATTGGGAGGGAGTGTCTCAACCGTGCTAAGGAAATTGAGGTGAGATTAAGCTTGTTGGATTAACAAGAAAATTAATAATTGATGCTAAATTAAGAGAATTATTAAGGGTAGATTATGAATAAAAGATAAAGAGTATATAATTGTTTACCATAATAGCTATGTCCTCATTATATAATATAGAACAAGAACATAACAATTACAACAATATCAAGTCTTTGTCCTACTACGTGGGGTCAACTACATGAATCATTTTTCTCCATTGTGTCATGCCAAAAGTTAAATTCTCGTTTAAATCTAATAAAGAAAGATCATATCTAATATTTTCTAATCAAGTTTTTTTTATGTCTATCTTTTATCTTTTTTAACATAAGTCAAATCTAATGCCTCTATTTTGCCAACCGGGTCATCGGAAGGCCGTTGTTTTATGTGACCAAACCATTTAAGAAGACTCTCTCTAATCTTATCTTCCACTGGCATTACTCCAACATTTTCACGTATATGCTCATTTCATATTTGGATTAACAAGAAAATTAATAATTGATGCTAAATTAAGAGAATTATTAAGGGTTGATTATGAATAAAAGATAAAGAGTATATAATTGTTTACCATAATAGCTATGTCCTCATTATATAATATAGAACAAGAACATAACAATTACAACAATATCAAGTCTTTGTCCTACTACGTGGGGTCAACTACATGAATCATTTTTCTCCATTGTGTCATGCCAAAAGTTAAATTCTCGTTTAAATCTAATAAAGAAAGATCATTTCTAATATTTTCTAATCAGGTCTTTTTATGTCTGCCTTTTATCTTTTTTAACATAAGTCAGATCTAATGCCTCTATTTCGCTAACCGGGTCATCGGAAGGCCGTTGTTTTATGTGACCAAACCATTTAAGATGACTCTCTCTAATCTTACCTTCCACTGGCGCTACTCCAACATTTTCACGTATATGCTCATTTCATATACTATCTCTAAGGATAAAGCCACTCATCCACCTGAGCATCCTCATCTCTACAACACTTAACTTAGTATTATGCTCATCTTTTAATGGCTAAGATTTGGCACCATAAAATATTGCAGGTCTCACCACCATCTTATAGAATGTTCTCTTAAATATTAGGGCGGCTTTTCTAGAACACAATAGTATATAATATGAACTAAAACTCTGATTTCATTTGGGATGGTTTTCTTACTGCTTCTTAAAATTACTTTTTAGTATAAAAATTTAAATTTTTTTACTAGACAGTTATTTTAAAAAATAGTAAAAAATCATCATAAATGAAATCTATATCTTAGGTCATGAATTCAAATAATATATTTTAGGATCTATCATTCACCATTAAAAAGAAAATTACTAACAAATATTTAGAGTATTTGACAGAATTGGATGCCAAAGTCCAAGAGAGAGCCAGTCGCACAATCGGCAGTGGATTTGATAAAGCTGGCGAAGGTGACAGTGGACGAATTTTTTGAGATCCCGATGACGACGAGGGATGAAATGGTACAAGACCTAGCGGACGGGTTGGAATCCATCTTCCAGGAGTACACATATTTTGTCACTTCTTGTGGTTGGTTTGATCGCTCTTCCTTTTTATTTTTTTTTCTTTACAAAACCATGAGTTGTGACCTTGATTTGAAAAATTATTCAAAGAATGTTTAAGATCATCTCCAACTGATCTTTAACCGCATTTATGTCGTCTTTCAATTGCTCCATTCAAAACTAGATCAAACTATAACCTTGAAGTGAGATGAGATCATTCACAACCCTAACCCTAATGCTGTAACTATTCCGAATTCAGGGAGTCGACAAAGCTACCTGCCGCTACTGCCGCCATTGACGCGCTGCAACCAAGACTCCCGTTTTGCAAAACTATGGAAGAAAGCCACGCCGTGCACACCCGGCGCAGATATGAAGCTCCTCGGCATGGGCGCCGGAGGCCCGACTCCGGTTGCAGCTGGCGGTACACCGGCCGGTGAGACGCACCATCCCCGGCCATCAACTAGCCGCGGCACCCAGCGGCTATACATTCGGATCAACACCCTCCATTACCTCTACTCCCACATCCATTCCCTCGATAAATCCCTCACCTTCTTCTCACGCGGCGGCAACCCCGCGCATCCCGGCCCTTCCCCGAACCTCCACCACCACCAGAAACTACGCCCTAACCGCCGCCTCACTCCCGCCGCCCACTTCGACCTAATCCGCGCCTCAATCCAAGCCGCAATACTCCACGTTTCCGAGGTCGCCGCCTACCGCCTCGTCTTCCTCGACTCCGCCCACTCCTACCACAGCCTCTATGTCGGCGGTGTTGCTGGTTCGAGAATCCGGCCGTCTTTGAGGATTCTTAAGCGGAATCTGAATATGCTGCTCACGGTGTTGACCGACCGGGCGCAGCCGGTGGCGGTGAAGGAGGTGATGCGGGCCTCATTCGAGATGTTCCTGATGGTGCTTCTAGCCGGAGGGACAGAGAGGGTTTTTGTCAGAACAGATTACGAGATGGTGATGGATGATTTCAGGAACATGAAGAGGGTTTTCTGTGCCTCCGGCGAGGGGATGGCGGCGGTCCTGGCGGACGAGGTGGTGGATAGGGCGGCGGAGGTTGTAGAAGGGGTAATTGGGCTTATGAGCTTGCCGACGGAACGACTTATTGAAGACTTTACAATTGCCGCTTGTGAGTCCGGTGTCGCCGGCGGAATTGCGGAATGGCAGAGGATTTCGATGCCGCCGACCACCGGGAGGTGGAGCCGATCGGATCCGAACACCGTGCTTAGAGTGCTCTGTCATCGGAACGATGACACGGCGAATAATTTCTTGAAGAGGGCTTTCCAGTTGCCTAAGAGGAAATAAGAATTACCTATTTATTTATATATTTATTTTGGATGATGAAGATTAGGCGTTTTAACTTTTGACCGTTAAAATATGCACAAGAAACAGAATAATTAATCACTAAATTTAATTAAAAATGTTAAGAGTAATGGTTATTTTGATCAAATTGTTTCACATTATGGAACCATTTGCATGTTTACATTACTAGAGATTTCATCAAAATTTTGACTTAAGATTAGTTTGAGACAAAATTTTTTATTATTTTTTTTTAAAAAAATTCTAATAAACATTTTTAATTTTTATAAAAAAAATTACTTTAAAAAACAATAAAAAAATTATCCCCAAATTGAAAAGTTTTATAATAGAAATTATTTTAAGAAGTAAGAAAGCATATCAAACAAAACTTTAATTTTAAATAATTTTTTATAATAATTTTTTCACTATCTTAAATAAATTTTATATTACAAAATTATTTAAAAAAATAAATTTAAACGAAACTTCTGTAACAACTTTTCTTATTATTTTTTAAAATAACTTTATAGGTTTTAATTAATACAATTTTCTTAATGATTTCTAAAACATTTTTTAATACAAAAATTTCTAATTCAAAATATTTTTTATGTTAAAAAATATTTTATAAAACAACAAAAAAATTATCCCAAATACAAACTAAATTCAAAAAAAAATTACAAAAAAACAATTTAAATAAAAAGTATAAAAACTATCAAAAATAAAACCTTAATCAACCAAAGAATTTTTAGAGGGTAATAATTTGACATCACAGACATTTTCTACTTTAGTTATGCGATGAATTATTCTATTTTTAACCCAAATATATTTGCAAAATTTCGTAAGCAATAAAATGTTTTTTTTTTTTTAATCAACCAAAAATAATGATATTAAAACAAAGAGCTCTTTCTTGCATCCAGATTAGTCTCCACAACAAAACTTTCACACGTATGATGAGAAATTACAAGCAGAAGAAAATCATTATACAGGAAAGGATTATTTCTATCATTCTGGAGATGAACTGTGTGCATTTATAAATCGATATGGACCTTTACAAACCATCCTGTGCTCCAGCCGCAAGTCCCTTAATCTGATTCATGAGAATGGGTAAACACGAAAAAATCAATTTTAGTCCCCTGGAAACAAAGAAGGATTTTATATAAATTTTCTCCTGACATCAATTTACTATTTCTTAAATCAGCTTTCTAGAAAGCTGCTTTCATACCATCCCAAACAAAGCCTAAGTAGTATAACAAACTACTTTAAGAACTCACAAAGTCCATGGAAATAACAAGAAGTTTGTATTGCAAGGTTTCAATAAAAAAAAAACTTCTATTTAACCACTCAAGTTTCAATATTGAATCCTTTTAAGTACACAGCTATGCTGCTCTTCTTTTAGGAACAATATCACGTTGGAGAAATTTGGAGAGATTATTCTATGCGATGTCGGAACGCGTCTGGAGGTCAATCCGGACGTGCCACATCACCCAACGCAGGGTGACATGTCGCGTCCGATTGGCCTCCGAACGCATCCGGACACCGCACGTAATAACTTTTCAAAATTTGAGGGTCAAATAGAATGACATTGAGAAGAGCATAATGAATCTCCTAGAATATGCAGATGAAAGACTAGAGAAGAAGAAAAATTAGGGCTAGAAATGCAAAATTACAGCCATTGTTCCTGGGTAAGATCATCCATCTTAAGATTTTGGTCAAAGAAGAAAATGAAAGCGTAGATATGCAAAATTAGAAAAACAAAATAGCTTCTAAAACATAGCCAAAAAGATAAAAATGATGCTTGAACTACATAGCTATGCTGCGCTTCTTTTAGGAACAATATGGCATTGCAGAAATTTGGAGAGATTATTTTGTGCGGTGTCCAAACGCGTCTGGAGGTCAATCCAGATGTGCCACATCACTCAATGCAGGGTGACATGATGCGACCGGATTGACCTTCAGACGCATCCGGAGGCCAATCCAGACACCGAACATAATAATTTTTCAAAATCTGAGGTCTCAGGTAAAATGACATTGAATAGTGCATAACGAGTCTCTTAGAATAAGCAGATGAAAGACTAGAGAAGAAGAAAAATTAGGGCTAGAAATGCAAAATTACAGACATTGTTCCAAGGTAAGATCATCCATGTTAAGATCTTCCTCAAAGAACACAATGAAAGTATAGATACGCAAATTTGTAAAAACAAAATAGCTTCATGTATAAATCCAACACCATAGTTTTCAAGTTATGTGTCAAAATATGAAAACAAACCTAATGCAAAGGTGCTAAACTAAACTACCACTAAAAGCTACAAACATAAGCTGTTACCTAAAATGATTTTACCCAAACGGAAAACTAATCTATCACCAAGGCAGACATACATACCACTGGTCATTGCAACCGATATTGGCATCCACTGAGTATCTGGATATATTGCGAGAATGTACATACAGCAACCCCTGTACAGAGGAGGGAAATGCATAACAGAAAAAATTCAATTATTCCAGCGTTACTGTACTGTTAATTCTTCTACATCTAACCGTAACTATTTGACCATTATAGTAATATACAATAATCTAATTTAGCAACATCTTAGGCCATACAAGCTAATCTGTTAATCTAATATAGCAGCATACTAGACCATAAATGCTTATCTGTTAATCTAATATAGCAACATGCTAATCTGTTAATCTAATATAGCAACATACTAGGCTATACACATTTTGATGAAGGCTATTAAAAGTAATTTGTATCTAGACCCTTTCAGGCTGAAACTAATTTACTTAAACCACAACTTTGCAGCTACCATGGATCATAAAGTCCAACAAATGGCCATATGACATAGTATAGCGACATACTAGACCATAAATGCTATTCTGTTAATCTAATATAGTAACATGCTAGGCCATAAATGCTAATTTGTTAATCTAATATAGCAACATAATAGGCTATATGCATTTTGATGAAGGTTATTAAAGGATGTCTGTATCTAGATCCTTACATGTTAAAACTATTTTACTTAAACAACAACTATGCAGCTACCGAAGATCATATGCTACCAACAGATAGCGAAATTATATAAAATATCCTAGGGCACACCTGAAGTACAGGTTCAAATATTAAGACAAATTACATAAAAAATATGCTACGATTAAAGAAAATCCTTCAGGTTGTAGTCCTACGTTTCCCCCAAAATTATGATAATAAAACTGTACCATTATTGTTTCCTAACCACAAAAAATCAGAAAAACCCATATCAGAGCAAACAATTAGACTAGTACATAAGATGTGGTGTTTTAATACCAGTCATAAAGACTATAACAATAGCAGCAAACCAGACGACATAATAGAAAAACTAGCATAAGCTACTCTGGCTGTAGGAAAACTAGAGGCCAGACAACATAATGTCATATCACCCTACATACCAGATAATTAACCAGCAGAAACGAGAGATAAAAGATAGTGCAAGCTATATATTACACTACAATACAACTACAGTTTAAGCTAAAGCAAAGTAGAGAACTGCTGATCTACTAAAGATAAGGCACTCAGAAGTTTCAAACCCTTCCCCAAAAATCATTCCTCTTCAGCAGTAGGATGCGCGATGACAAGCAAAGTTGGCCACTCTAAATCACCAATAACCACTCTGGATGAAAACTCAGGCATGAAGTTCACTGTTGCTGCCCCTGCCTGGATTGAGAACCAGCATATCCTCCACTATAACCAATCGTCCCACCGGGTGCACCAGCCAGTTGACTAGCCCCATAGCCACCACCTCCCTGAGCAGATTCAGATCTCCAAGCATTTGAATAACCAGTGCTTCCACTGCCATCATTGTAACCTCCACCCGTAAAGCCAGAACCGACACCCTGCTCCCCGGCACCACTAGGATTGCCGCCGCCATGACCTCCAACAGCCCCATAACCACCCTGATTACCATAAGGAGCTTCAGACCCCCCATACCCAGCATAACCATATCCCTGATTTCCATAGCCACCTGCATTGCCAGGAGACTGACCAGTGTGTCCAGAAACAGGTCCTCCGCCACCAGGAGTATTCCATGATCCAGCTCCTCCATACCCGGCATTCGCACCATAACCTGCAGAAACATACCCACTCCTTGGAGCACCTGGAGGTCCAGTAACATAACCAGCTCCAGGGCCAGCAGGGTTTCCATAGGCCCCAGTATTTCCATAGCCACCATAACCACTATAACCAACACCATTGGTTCCTGTTCCATAACCATACGCAGGAGCACCGTAACCCGATGAGCCATATGGATTGTAACCAGCGCCACTTGCTGGTGGCTGCATATACCTGCTGCCATCCACTCTGTTATCATAAGAGTTTGAGTTCACACCTGAACCACCATAAGATTGATAGCTTCCTCCACCGCCCATGGAGCGGTTAGTGTTGTTGTTAGGGTTTGCATCTTTTGGGAGGGCACGTTTGACCTCTACTGCTTTTCCGCCTACATCATGAAACTGCTTCTGAACCACACGATCAACACTATCCTCTGAATCAAATGAAATGAAGCCAAAACCTCTAGGCCGCTGGGTGTTCGGATCATACATCACAACCACATCAGTAACAGTGCCAAAAGCTTCAAAGTATTTGCGGAACTCTATGTCTGATAGAGTGGGAGGAAGCCCTCCAACAAAAATCTTTTTGGTTCTAATGCTTCCACCACCACCACCACCACCACCTCCTCCCACATTTCTCATCATGTTACTTCCGGTTCTAACAGTACTATGCTGTTCCTCTCTTGACATGGCCTTCTTTGCTTCCACCTAAGTAAATATAATTAGGAAGCATGGATCACATTGTAATAAAAACACAAGCAACACCAAAAATTCCGCCACTAATAGAGAGGGCAACAAAGTTGCCTTCAGTGCCAATTAAATTAGTTCACAAATCCATTAATATAATCAAATAAATATAATATATGTGAATATAAAAAAATTTATTGTTCGATTGTTAAAACCAAGAGCAATAAACACCAAAAATAATCATTTATTTAAATGAATGTCATGCCACTATCCATATGGTAACCAATGATATACCTTACATTATAGTGAATCTTAATACATCTAAGTTTGCTGGCTTATTATCACTTGAAAAATATTATTACCACCATATTTATGTTGAAAAAAAAATATATGTTTTGATATACTATTGCTAAATTCAGTTAAAAATAACAAATAAGATATTCTCTCATATTGTCCAAAATATGCTAAATAGAATTACGAGTCCTCCAAGCGAATATACTAAAATTAAATCAAAGAACGATATTTTTGGCACCAAAAAAGAAAACTAGTTAGAAGTCTATTTAAGTAGCAAAGCCAGTAAAATAGCCATGTTTGATTCAGATGTATACCATCTGCAGAGATTGGAATTAAAAGATCAGTCAGAAAGAACTAAATTCTAAATCTAACATTAAAACAAAATTAAGAAAAACAAAGGGGAAGAGCAAAAAAGAGGAAAATAAATATTATGACTACATATCTAATTTCATCAAAGCATTCATGATTACACATATAGATATGAAAGAATGAATGGTAAAATCAAATAGCAAAAAGATCAAACCCGCAGAAATCGGTTCAATCTTGCATTTAAGAAAATGTACACTAACTTGATAAAGAGAGTCAGTAAGCTAGAAATGAGAAAATATCATGAATCAACAGAGAGCATCAAAATTGACAAAAGGGAGCCACAAAGAAACAAAGGAAAATACTTCGGGGAAAAAAAAAACATAACAGTAAACATTCATGTTAAATAAAAAAACAAAAAAGAACTTAATAGTAAACATGAAAATAAACACATATGTTATTCTCCAAAACCCAGCAGATTATCTCAGAGTTCTTACATAATGAACAAGCCAGCATCTCATAAAATAGAGCAAATGGTCCTGAAAGACATTGGCCTTGAATCTCAATTCAATACAAAATGAAAAAAAGATTGTCAACCCCTTGAAACAATAGAATCAAAGGCAGTATTCAGTCAATATCTCTTATATAAATAACCATTTCTCACGAGAATTTAAATTAAAAAAAAAAACAGGAAGAACTTATGATGCAAACAATTAAATTAAATAAAGCAATCAGCTGATAAATTCATCAAGCGTCTGTTTAGCAACAAGCAGGATTTATTAAATCCTCTAAAATCCAGATTAAATAAATCCCGTGGGTGTTAATGCTGAAAACTCTTTGACAAAAAAGATGTTAAATTCTGATAAATCATGTGAAACTATTTGGCAACATAACTTTGGATTTAAACCGGTAGATTCATTAAGAACCCAAATTAAATTTATGTTTTAAATACACGTTAGCCATCAATTTCAATTTTAATTACCGCAAATAATTACAATCATAAATAATATAATGAGAAGCTAGCTTAATGGTCAAATAATTTAACTAATAATTTAATTACTGATTAAAAACTAATTATCTAATTACTTATTTAGATATTATTTTAATAAGTCTTTAATTACTAATTATATTGATAATTATTTAATTATTATTGCAAACAGCTAATTATTTAATTACTACTTATACTATTAATTATGTAAGTGTTATTTTAATAAGTTATTAATTATTATTAATTAAATATTTAATTAATCATTTAAATATTTTCTTACTAACAAATTATTTAATTATTAATTATGCTTTTAATAATCTAATTAATTATTAATATTTCATATTATATTAATTAAGCTAAGTAAATTAATTTCAAATTTAGAATAAGACAGGTCTGTCTAGGGTTTGTTTTTGTCTTCACCATTTCTTTATTGTTGTTCAGCTTTCGCCTGCTTTGTGCATTGCTTCATTGCTCTACAGCCTTCACTTGCTCATGTATTTCTTCGTTGTTGTTTGGCGCCTTTGCCTGCTTTGCATGAAGTAGTTTTGAAGGCGTTGCTAAAAGCTTCTTAGCCTCCTTCGACGACATTCCATTCATGTATGATCGAAAGTCACGCAGTTCAACAACATTCTTTGAGGCTCACTCACTGCGAAGGTAACCATCTTCCTCCACTTTCACGCGCTTCTTCCGCCAAATCCCATAAATCCACCAAACTCTTGAATTTGGTAAATGTGGGATTTATGGAAAAAAAAGAGGCAAACAGAGGATTTAATTCACGCAGTTCAACAGAGGATTCAGCATTTTTTTTTTTTTGGGCAATTCAGCATAAACCCTACTCAAATCCTATATAAATCTTGTATCCAAACAGCACCACAGGATAAATGTTTCAATGAAAGAACAAGATTGTATCTCATACTGGGAATTGCAATGGAGAGAAGAAAAGGTTGGCACTATGTGACTCTCTCAAATTACAAACCAGCATAATTAGAGATCAATTATAAGCAAAAAAAATTAGTATTTTCCTAGCACACAATGCGCAACAGCACCTAACACTCCAATAAACAAAAGAGAAGAAATAAGAGCGAGAAAGTAAAGCCAAAATTCAGAACTAACAAGTAAATGATGACCATAAGATGTAATCTCATTCAATATCTACTAAAAGTCCATTCAACTTATGGAGAAGAAAAATATAGGTAAAATTACAATGCACAGACACTTGCATTAAACTTAGGTGTTGTTCGGTTGCAGCAAGATTTAAACACAATTTTTTAGGCTTTTAAAATCATTGGTTTCATAATACAACACTAGCTGAATTTACTAAGTCTGCCCTAAATTCGGGAAGTAGTAAATATATCCAAAAGCAAGAGTTAAAAGATTTGAACAATAAGATCTAGTATATCCCACCAAAAAAAAAACAAATGTTCTCCTAATACACAGTATGAAACAACTTATCCCACTCCAGCAAGTGCAAGGGAACAAATAAAAGCGAGAAAATAATATGCCAAAATATTCAATCTTTACAAGTAAACAGTCAAGATAACACTAAGAATGCAATGTCATTCAAGAGCTACTAAAGGTCCATCATTACAATGCAGTACACCAACACTTGAATCAAACTTTGGTGCTTTTCAATTACAGGATTTAAGCATCTTTTTAGGCTTTTTTAAATCCTGGATTTCATAAATCCAATATTATATTGGAAATATTGGATTTACCAAGTCCGTCCTAAATCCAGTATCTAGTAGATCCTACCAAAAGCAAGAGCAAAGATATTTCAGAAAATAAGATATAGGAATTTGTATAAGTCTCCTTACTTGCATCCAAAATTTCCAAGATTTAACTTTGATTAAAGATATAGACAACCACATGCCCATTTCTAAAACCGAGATTTAAAGAATTAACCATATCTACATTTTAAATGAACTCAGAAACTAAGGAGCACGTACTATTGCAACCAAGCCTTAAAATCCCACACCAAAACCAAAAACTCCGTGTATTCTCTAGGAAAAAAAACACTTGAAAGCAACAATAAAAAAAAAATCTTCACAAAACACGTAGCAGAAATAAACTAGATCTTCAAAAAAGTAGTAACAACATCAATCCATTGTTTCAAGCATTAGAACTGAAACATACCAAAACAAATTAAGTGAACCCTAAATTCAATAGCAAAAGACAAAGAAGAGCAAACAAAACGTGGGAAACATAAACGAAATTGCAGGAAAAACATACAAAATCAAGAAAAAAATAACGGAATTCGAAGGGAAAAATGCACGAAACGGGTCTCACAGTGCGGCCGTCGATGTTGTGAGTGTCTTGAAGGACTCGATCTAAGATGGAAGGATCGGAAAAGGCAACAAATCCGAAGCCCCTAGGTTTTCCTGTAGCTTTATCCCTCATCACCACCGTCTGCGCGACATCACCATACTGGCTGAAGTAATCTTTCAGCTTGTCTTCAGTTGTTTCCCACGAAATACCTCCGATGAAGAGTTTGCCCAGATCCGAATCCATCGATCTCCTTTCTCTCTTCTTCAGCGCAAAACGAAGAAGGAACGAAAAGAATTGGGTATTCTCGGCGGAGAAACCGGCGGCGGAGAGGGGAATACCTAAGAGACAGGGAAGGGATAGGTTAGATAGGAAAAAGCTTGAGATAAAATGAGATGGACGGCTGCGATTCTTCGAATAGTGACGATCGCTTCTATCTTCAAATATCAGTCTTATGATCAACCATTTGTGCCCAGGATATCAATAAACGGACAGTCTGGAGCTTAATTAGAATGTATCATGTCATCTGATGTATTTTTATAAAATTCATTGATGTATTTTTGATTTCTTGAGTCAAGTCTTGTAAGAGTGTATGCTTGCTTGGTGGTCATCCATACACACACACTCATGGGGAGTGAGATTGAGTCAAAACCAGAAGTTCAAGTTTTGAACTAATCGTACTTAACGATTTATATCGTCCAGGACGATCAGCTCATTGAACTAATCCTACTGGATGATTTCGATTGTCCAGGACGATCCATTATGATCTTGGAAAGTAGCCGCCAATGATAATTTATGCAATGATTTAAAATTAAATTTTTGTTCTAATCTTCCCGGACGATAAATACAAATCATGCCTAAATTGATCATGTGATTAGGGGACTAATTATGGTTAAAGACGATCTGTATATCGTACTGGATGATGTTTGCCGACATATTTGATTTTCCTAAATCGTCCAAAATCGTCTAAGAGGAAATACCATAATTTTCTTCTAATCGTTCAGAACGATCCACAATATCGTCCTGGACGATCTGAAGAAATTTGAACTGATCGTCCAGGACTATCATGATATAGTCCATGACTTTTTTTTCAGGTCAAATTCTGCACATCGTACTTGACGATCTTGTGATCGTACATGATGATATTTGGAGCCAAAAATGAGTTTTTAGGGTTTTCTGAAGCCATCATATATATTAAGCACATCGTACGGGACGATACTGCGATCGTCCTAGACGATCTTTATCGCTAATATTGATTTTTAGGATTTTTCAAAGCCATTTATTTAAGCTTTATCAAGGCACTTGATAAGTGTCTTTGGCAGTCATTGAAGCTCCGTTCTTCTAAAAAAAACTTAAAGAGAGAACTTGAAAGGGAAAAGAAATGGTGGAGTTTGAGAGAGGGAGAAGATCCTGATAGTAATGTAATATTAATGTTTTGGGTGTTAGATATATAAATAGCATAAAATAAAGTGGTATCTATGTAAAACCCCCAAAAATAAAATATGTTGAAAGCTGTCCCAAACAAACTCTAACTTGATCAAACAAGCATCCCTTAGTATGAACCATTGAGATAAATCTAGTAGGAGTTGCTATATTTTTTAGTCATGATTGTCATATGGTGTTGGATTTGCCATGTTCACATTAGCATGCACTCATGGATGTGAGATATTGGGTCTAAAATGATTCAAATCCAAAGTCATAAATAATTCATTCCAAAATGTTCCTTTTTTTTTGGAAAGTTAAAATGGTCCTTTTATGGAGAGAAGATTATTCATATAAAATTAATAGTATATTATCGCTCATTTTTAGTGAATTAATCAAGTGATGAAAAACCTTATTTTAGTTATTCCTATTTATCTGTTTATATACAATTAATTAGAGGTGTAAGTGAGTCAAGCTGACTCGTGAGCCTACTCGGGTTGAACTCAATAAATGGCTTGTGAGCTGAACTCAATGAGTAAATGAGCCAAATTTGAGCTGGCCCTAACTCAACTGTTAACTCGCCAACCCACTCGTTTTAAAAATATTAATATGAAATGTACTTAAAATATATTAATATTTATAATTTTAAGTGTTAAGTTGTTATATTTAAAAAATATAGCTCACTTTATTATATTAAGTTATTATTTATTATTTTTCGGCTTTCTCATTCTTTTAATTATTTTATTATAATAATTGTTCAAATCATAATTATTTTCTCTCTTTCATTATATACAAGTCCATCGTGAGCTGAATTAAACTCAAAAATAAAGCTCGAGCTTGAACTCAATTAATTAATCAAGCTCAAGCCAAAGATGACTTGAGCTTGACTCAGCTCGTTTACGCCCATACATTGATCAATCATTTATATTGTTGCGTCATGGAGTATTCGCGGCGGTAGAGAAATATATAGTTTAACGTCTTAACATTGTACGAAGATCCAGCACACAATCAGATAAGTGAAAGGGTGTAGCGTTCATAAGAGACACTAGAGTTTTTACGTTGAAACCCTTGAAAAGGGGGGAAAACCACAGGGCATGGCCCAGTTTGAATGAATCAACTAGTATTTGCAGTCGATTACAAATGAGGCCCTTCCTTGGGAGAAGGCCTTGGCTTTGATGATACAAATGTACATCATATATAGCGCATTACATGGTGGGAGTTATAATGTAGACATGTTTGTTTGGTCGGCACAATCATAGTCGATATGATGGAGGTCGAAAAGACCGTTGTCATGTGATGGAGGTTGGAATGATCATAGTATGCGACGGAGGTCAGAAGGACCGTAGTCGGCAGGAGTCCGGGGTCAGAAAGACCGTTGTTTGTTGATGGAGGTCGGAAGGACCATAGTAGGCGACGGAGGTCAGAAGGACCGTAGTCGGTAAGAGACCGATGTCATAAAGACATTTGTCTGTTGATGGAGGTCGAAAGGACCATAGTAGGCGACGGAGGTCAGAAGGACCGTAGTCGGCAAGAGATCGGAGTCAGAAAGACCGTTGTTTGTTGATGGAGGTCGGAAGGACCATAGTAGGCGACGGAGGTCAGAAGGACCGTAGTCGGTAGGAGATCTGAGTTAGAAAGACCGTTTTCTGTTGATAGAGGTCAGAAGGACCATCATAGGTGATAGAGGTAAGAAAGACCGTAGTTTACAAGAGACCAGGGTCTGAAAGACTGTAGTAGAAGGGCGATACTTCGGTAGAAGTCCGGGCATCAGGTGGTGGCTTAGTGGAGCTCGGGGCCTCAAGTGGCAATCTGGCGGAAGTCCAGGCCTCAAGTAGTGGCCTGGTGGAGCACAGGGCCTCAAGTGGTGGTCCGGTAGAAGTCCGGGCCTCAGGTGGTGGTCCGATGGAAGTCCGGGCCTCAGGTGGTGGCCTGGTGGAGCACAGGGAAATAAGTGACGGTTCGGCGGAAGTCCGAGTCTTAGGTGGTGGCATGGTGGAGCACAAGGCCTCAAGTGGTGGTTTGGCGGAGCAATGGCGTCAGGCGGAGGTGAGGGTCTCAAGTGGTGGTCCGACGGAGCAACGGCGTCAGGCGGTGGTCCGGCGGAGGTGAGGGCCTCAAGTGATGGTTCGGAGAAGGCGAGGGCCTCAAGTGGGGGTCTGGAGGAGCAACGACGTCAGGCGGTGGCCCGGCAGAGGTGAGGGCCTTAAGTGGTGGTCCGGAGAAGGTGAGGGCCTCAAGTGGTGGTCCGGAGGAGCAACAATGTTAGGTGGTGGTCCGACAGAGGTGAGGTCCTCAAGTGGTGGTCCGGCGAAGGCGAGAGCCTCATGTGGTGGTCTGGCGAAAGTCCGGCGGTGGCCCGGCAAAACTCCGACGATGGTCGAGGAGGAGCTTCTTCCTTCTCTTCTCTTCTTCTCTTCTTCTCTTCTTGCTCTGGTCCCTTTTCAAGAGAAATAAGGAGTCTATTTATAGATTTTCTGGAGTGGCATGGCCTGTAAATAGGTGAGAGATCAAGGGAAAATGTGGAGTGGTTCAATGGACGACCGATATTGAATCCCTTGATCATAGACCGTTCGTCAGACATTTGAAGGTTTTAAAGGTGTCGGAATTAAGCGATCTTGGGTTCGTTGGATTCGTCTCGTCGAGCCGCTCGATTTGACTATAAGCTTGTTATGTTTGGAAACCGTTTGGTAATCCGAATTGTGGTTTGAACCTTCTAACAGTGCTTTAAGTACTTGATTTGTACTCATTTGGGCTCGGATTTTGTCAAATTTGGTGTCGTTTGGTTTCTTATTTCCGAAACGCTCAGTTTGACTGTAAGTTTGCTGAAATCGGAGTTCAGGATGTACCCAATTTTAATTTTTAAAGTTTCCAACTTGATTATGCATCGAGATTCGTGACGATCAAGATAATTTTTTTATAACGTATCAATTATAATGTGAAATAAGTAAGAGATAGAAATTTGATTCTAAACATATTTTTAAATTTCATAACAAAATGAAAGAAATAATTTTGGATTGTAAATATATTTCCAAAATCAAAACATAGAAATGATCAAATAATGAATGTAGAAATTAACATATCTTATGCCATTGATGTTTGTCTATTATCACTAATTCCGAGCACTCTAAATCTTTTAAGGTTTCGTTTGGGATGACTTTCTTGTTACTTCTTAAAGCAACTTTTTAGTAAAAATATTTTAATTTTTGTACTAAAAAGTAGCTTTATGAAGCATTAATAAAGCAATCCCAAACAAAGCCTAAATCTTCTCAAAATTTATGGTGTATTTTCTTGAAGTAGATTGAAGGCTTAGGAACTAAATGAAACTTTTAATATAATTATTTTTCTTCATATATATAACCTCTACCAATCATATAATTTTTTATGAAAAAAATAAAATAAATAGCTTTAATAAAAAGAGGTTGTCTAAAGAAAATTTTAAATCATATTATTAACTTATTTAAAATACAATAAGTTATAAAAAGTACATATAAGTGATTATAAAAACTAGCATAGATAACTTCATCACTTTGGGTGTCAAAAAACAGCCGAAGAATATCGGGTTCGACTCAAATTCGAACCGTGACTCAATTTTGACACCCATAATCATCATCAATTATAATCATCTTTTCCTTTTCCAATATGACTCACAACTATTGCATTAGTAACTTGCTTTCTACTAGAGCTTTTAAAAAAAATTAAGTTCTTCATAGCAACTTCACAATCATTCTATAAAAAGTTCAAGCGGTTTTTTTTTGGAACCGGAGCTTGTGACGCGTTTGGCGATGTCCATTAATTCCTCGGCGAGTCTACCAGCAACCAACCCCACAAGTGCAGGACCCACAGTTCTTTTCTCTCCACTTAAGAAGTCGTGCCGTATGAGAGGGGATTCAATCTTGAGATGGGGGTTCCCAACCAAGCACGCCCACCAACCCACCTAAGCTGGAGTTCAATCGATTTCAAACATATCATAAATTAAAGTTTTATTTGGAATAATTTTCGGACTGCTCTCTAAAAAGTTTTCTAACACAGTGGCCAAAAGCTGTGCATTCAAAGTTCCAACGTTAAACTCAGAACGAATCAGATCAGGCAAACAAAAAGAAAGATAATCCACAAATGCAGAAAAGGATTAATTGCTCTTTCATTTCTTAGCATTTTTGCATTGCTCAACTAAACTCTCGAGATCTGAAAATTTCTACCCATCTTGAGCGCCATTATTCTTGGATTTCTCCTTGTTGGATTCTCCAACATCCTCGGCCTGAGTATTGAACTCTGCTTTATAAACATAGAATCGGCTAACAAAAAGGAAGAAGAAGAAATTAACTACATTCAGAACAGTAAAGAAAGCATAATAGTAATCCAAATGAGATTTGTTGAGATTATTGACTATCCAGCCCCCATGGCCGCCGTCCAACCTTCTGGTCACCTTCTCCGTCGTCGACAGCAAGAAGCTACTGAGGAAATTACCAACGCCAAGCGTCGTCATTGCATAAGAAGTTCCGAGACTCTTCATCCCTTCAGGCGCCTGATCATAAAAAAATTCGATCTTGGACACCTCAAGGAAAGCGTCGGCGACTCCCATGAGCACGTACTGGGGGAGGAGGATGAAGACGGTGAGAGGGATGGTGGCGCCCGATTCAGCTACGCCGTGGGCGCGAGCGGCCGAGAGGCGGAGGCGCTCGGTGAGGCAGGCGACGAGCATGATGACGATGTGGATGAAGAGGCCGGTGGCCATGCGGCGGAGGAGAGAGATGCCGCGGGGGTTGCCGGTGAAGCGGCGGGCAAGGGGGACGAAGGCGCGGTCGTAGAGGGCGACGGAGATGAGCATTGCGACGGTGATGAAGGCCGTGAGACTTGCCGCGGGGATGCGGAAGTGCGGGCCGATGCGGCGGTCGAGGGTGGCGCCCTGTTTGACGAAAAGCGTGTTAGCTTGGGCAAGCATTGTGCTGGGGACGAAGGTGGCTATGAGAATGGGGATCATTCGGAGCATTTGCTTTGTTTCTTCAACTTGCGTGACGGAGCAGAGCGACCATGGACTGCCGGACGACTCTGTCTTCACTGCCGCTTTGCTAAGAAATCTGCATTCATGGATTAAAATAGAAATATATGACAATTAAAAGATAAATATTTCGTATTAAATAACGCATAAGCAAATTATATTTCGTTCATCGAAGACAAAATTGCATTTTTTACAGCAATTTCTTTCAGAATGACAGAATTTTGAGGAATTGTAAAGGATCAATCTTCAGGGTTTATTCGACATCTTACCTCATAGAAGGTGTATAGCCAATCTGAATCTTGCCAGTTCCCTCATACTCATGGAGCCCTATTTCATGCAGCTCTTTGGGATCAGCTGGCAGAGTTGCTCGACATTTTTTAATGGCAGCCACAACAACCTGTGCCATTTTCGTAAACGGGCTTCCGGCGAGCGGCTTGTGGCGGTAGAATGGGGTGCCGGCGACAAAAATTAGCACGGAAACGGCAAGGCCGAGAGTGGGGAGCGCATAGCCCACACTCCACCCTACATTATCTTGAATGTAGACAAGAACAGTATTGGCAAAAAGGGTGCCAAAAAAAATGCTGAACATCCACCAGTTGAAGAAGGATAGCTTATGAGTGCGCTCTCGGTGGTCGAACTCGTCGAATTGATCGGCGCCGATCGTCGAGATGTTGGGCTTTGTGCCGCCGGTACCGAGGGCGATGATGTAGAGGCCGGAGAAGAAGACGCCCAGTTGTAAGGATGAAGCTTTATTAGTGCAATTCAGGTCTGCTGTAACAGAGCCGCAAGGAGGCGGCTTCAGAGATGGGAGGGAGACCGCTAATGTTATAACACACATGCCCTGTCATAAAAGAATATGTTAGTTTACGTTAGATATGCCTTGAGATTAGTGTTGTGTATGTTATCTTAAATTTTACTAATCTTAGTATAAATTAAATGATTTTAAAGTCCCTTTTATAAGATTAATTTTTATTTATGAATAGCATCAAAATCTAAGTATTAGCAAAATTAGTGTAAATTAATAAAAATACTATGAATCAATGTGACATACAAAATTAACTAAGACAAAGAAAAGTATATGATGCTACAAGGTTGGTATTAAACTCTTAATTAAAAATAAAAATAAAAATTAGTAATGACACATTATCAAAATTTGCTTTGATATGGTATGAATCTTGGGGCATGCCTTAGTTGACAACTTTCAAAATAAAATTTTAACAATCTATACTCCAATTTCAACAAACGTAAAGCCAAACTAAACATCTCAAAGTGAGGAGCCCAACGACACGAGAATCGGTCCAATCCGAGCCCAAATAAGTCCAAATCGGGGGTTGAAGCATATTTGGATGATTCAAAGCATAATTAGATGAACAAATGATATCAAAATATAGCATGTTTACAGTCGAATCAAGCAACTCGACAAGACGAATCCATCGAGCCCAATATCGCTTAATTCTAATATTATTTCGACACTTTAATGCTTGTTAAATGTTCTATGATGGATGGGTCCGTACAGGTAGTCTTATGGACCACTATGAATTTTACCCCATATTTTCTTTATATTTATAGTGCATGTCACTCTTAAAAGTCTATAAATAGACCTACACTTCTCACATGAAAGAAGAGCTGGGACCTTTAGGAGCTTTAAATATTTTGGCTAGATATTAGAGAGAGTTCTAAGGCTTCAAGATTCTAAAGCTCCATCGCCATCGACAGCGAACTTAAGTCGACCATTGTCGATCCACTACCATGCTGTCGACCATCACCTAGTAGCCGACTATCTTTGAACCACTGCCGAACTTCCGCCAAACCATCATTGGACTGCCACCTGGTCGCCGTTCGTCGCCAAACCAGTGTTTGTCGACCAATCACTTCAAGATCTTCACCAGCTCTGTGCCTGTCGTCGAACCTCTGCTCGAATGCCATGGACACAACACTATGACCTACGTCGCTCGTCGACTATGGTCCCTCCGAACATCATTGTTTGTTGACTATAGTTGCATTGACCACTGTCGCCCGCTGACTATGATCCCTCATAATACCGTCACTCGACTATGGTCATATTGATCAACCGAACATGCTAACACTCACTTAAGTACAGCTCTCATATCACTAAATTCTTTTTACTCCCAACATGTAAAGTTCTCTATTTGATATCTATTTTCTACATTAAGCCAAAACCTTCCTCTCAAAGAAGGGCCTTATACTTAACAATAACAACAAGTCTTTATCCCACTATGTGGGGTCTACTACATAAATCCTTTTTCTGCATTGTGTCATGTTAAGGGTCAAATTCTCATCTAAATCTAATAAAGAAATGTCATTTCTAATATTTTCTAACTAAGTATTTTTAGGTCTACCTTTACCTTTCTTAACATAAGTTAAATATGATACATCTACTTTCCAAAGTAATTGGAAGGCATCCTTTTTTATGCGAACAAATCATCTAAGGCGACTCTCTCTATTCTTATATTCTACTGGAGCTACTCCAACCTTTTCACGTATATGCTCATTTTATTTCGTATCTTTAAGAGTAAAGCCATTCATGCACCTGAGCATCCTCATATATGCAACACTTAATATTATGATTCTCTTTTAATGGCCAGCATTCTCACTATAAAGCATTGCAGGTTTCACTACCATCTTATAGAATTTTCCCTTAAGTTTAAGATGGACTTTTCTATCACATAACAAGCCCTATGCATTCCTCCACTTCAACCTCCAACTTGAATTCTACTAATAATATATCCATCTATTTCACCTTCACTCTGAACAATAGATATAATATATCTAAATCTTGTGCTCTTATTAATGGCTTGATTGCCCAAAGTCATAGTTCACCCACTAGATCTATTATTACTAAAAGTAGACTTTATATATTTTAGATCTGCTCAAACGAAAGCCTTTAGACTCAAAAGTTGACCTCCATAATTCAAGTTTACCTTCAACTCTCTCTCTAGTCTTATCAACAAGAAGGATATCATCAGCAAAAAGCATACACCAAGGTATAACCCCTTGCAAATGTCTAGTGAGAACATCCATGACTAAAGCAAAAAAGTCGTGGGCTTAAGGCTGATTCTTGATGTAAAGCAACTGAAATAGGAAAATACTTGATCAAACCATCGTGTGTTTGAACTAAAGTAACAACTCCTGCATATATATCCTTAATAAACACTAGTAAAATTATTTTAATTGGGCTAGACTCTGTGGTTTTTCCCCTTTTAAGAGTTTTCCACGTAAAAATTTTGATATCTCTTCTGATTCTTGTACCTCTCTCTCTCTCTCACACACACTCTCTCTCTCTCTCTCATTATTTATATATTTGATGGATCTTCATTCAAAACTAAGACATTAAGTTCCCTATCTCTCTACTGCCCCAAATATTTCAGTCCACAACAGGTAATAATAATAATAATAATAATAATAGAAAGCTCTTAAGCTTCATTTGAAACATTTTATCATTATTTTTTTATGTTTAAAATAAAATTGTACCAAAAAAAAAAACTGATTTAAAAATCAATAATCAAAGGTCTCAAACAAAATCTTACTCAAATGCCCTATAAGGTTTTGGATAGGTCGCTTTCAATCCAATATTAAACCTCTCAAGTCTTTTATCTTAATTTCAAAGTCGGCAATGACTTAAAAGACAAAATTTAAATCATTTTTATTTTGGTTGGCCTCAGTTTGACTATTAAATAATTTCATATTTAATTAATAAGGCTTCATTTAGGATAATTTTTTCTTAATTCTTAAAACAACTTCCTAGTTTAAAAATTAAAAATTTTATACTATAAATTGATTTAAGAAGCAGTAAGAAAATCGTCCCAAACGACGCCTAAGGCTTCGTTTGGGATGGTTTTTTTATTGTTTTCTAAAATGGAGTTTTAGTACAATTTTTTTTATTTTTGTACTAAAATTCCGTTTTAAAAAGCAATAAAAAAGCTGTCCCAAACGAAGCCTAAATCTACAAAGAATTTGTATCAAACAAAACTAACTTATCTTACGCATTTATTATTACGTGCCGAGTCCGGACACGGAGAATCGATCGGTTTTATGAGTTTAAACAATAAAAAAACAGTAAAATCACAATGATGAACAATAACATCACTATTTTCTATACGTAAACTCCGTATGTAATAATATCTTCATTATTTGTGGCTTCCCCACATCAAAAATATCAATCACTCAATATAAATAAAGCACAAGAGATTTATATTTAACAAAATAGAAAATTTGAAGATAAAATCCTGCAGTTGCAGCTGGCCTAATTTATATGTAGATGCTTGCATCTGCATCAACTGGACAAATTGCAGAAGTTTTAATAATTCATCTCTTCCTATCCTCATCAATTATTTAAAAAGGACAATCATTTCACCCACCACATGCGATTTTTCAAACATATTGCAGATCTGTTTGGGACGGCAGCATTATTTTATAAAGCTGATTGTAAAGTTATTTTTTTATATGTTATAAATAGCTTTTGATTATAAAAAACAGCTTATGATCATAGAAATTTTCAAAATACAACGACAACAACAAAACATCAAGTCTTTGTCTCAGTACGTGGGATCGACTACATGAATCATTTTTCTCTATTGTGTCCTATTAAAAGTAAAATTCTCGTTTAAATCTAATAAAGAAAGTTCATTCCTGATATTTTCTAACCAAGTCTTTTTAGGTCTACCCTACCTTTCTTAATATAAGTCAAATCTAATACCTCTACTCTCCTAACCGGGTCATCGGAATGCCGCCATTTTATGTGACCAAACCATCTAAGGCGACTCTCTCTAATCTTATCTTCTACTGGAGCTACTCCAACCTTTTCACGTATATGCTCATTTCGTATCCTATCTCTAAAGGTAAAGCCACTCATCCACCTGAGCATCCTCATTTTCAAAATGCAATGATTAAAACAAAAGTAGTTAGAAACCCCCAAATAAATTAAGATGTGATTTGTATTAATCACTTCATAAGTTTTGTTTGGTATAACTTTCTTACTGTTTTACGAAACTTATGTGATGATTAAAACAAATATTTTGAGCTTTCTTATCTTTAACAAATCTAGCATCAGATGGAACATCATGATCAAACATACAAATAAAAATAATCAACTTACCGAAAAATAAATAATGGAGGCGATTATGAATGTCCAATACCGACCGAGATGAGCATCGGCGATATAGGCGCCGATGATCGGCGTAATCCACACAGTTCCAATCCAATTGGTAACATTATTTGCTGAAGACACTGTGCCCTGATGAAGCTTTCTAGTCATATAGATCACCAAATTTGATGAAATCCCATAATAAGCCATTCTCTCAAACACCTCATATACTGCATAAGCCAATGATTAATATCATTTCAGAATATGTTATGCCAAATACAATCTTAGTGAGAGAAATTAAGATTTTATTTGAGACGGTTTTTTACTATTTAAAAAAAAGTTACTAAGAAGCTGCTTTCTACGATAAATTTTAAAAAATTATTTTTTTCACTACTTTTTTAAAATTATTCAACCATCTCAAATGTAAAATTCTCCTTATAATTATCATTTACATCAAAATATTTTTCAATGATTTTGCAAAAGACTAATTTTATTAAAATATTATTTAATTTAAAGATTTGTTTGATTGGCTATATTATTTTATAAAGTTAATTATAAAATTGTTATAGATAAAATAGCTTAATTATTTTAATTACTAAAAACTACTTTTCACTTCATGATTTTTTTGAAAAATAATGAAAAACATTGAGAAAGTCGTAGCTTACTGAAACAATAGTTATTGTTTGAGAAGTAAAGTAGCCGGAAAGCTATTTCAAACAAGAAAAATTATTTTGTGCGGAGGTCGGGCTCAACTCTACGTCTGGAGGCGAATCAGGTGCAGCTACGTCAGCAATACCGAGCAGTGGTACAACGAAGGGGTGATGTGACGCATTTTGATTGGTCTCCAGACGGCGTTTGGCATCCGCACGAAATAATTAATCCTCAAAGAGAACTTTAATCTTAATTATTTTGAAATATAGAAAATGAAATTAAAGTAATTCATTCACATGCTTGCAAAGCAAGTGGATGAAGCTTATCTACAAAACACACGGCTTTCAATCTTCCACGATTAACAGCTTCAGCTTCATCTCTTCTCCATGGCGAAGAACAAATGAAGCCATCAGATAATAAACACCTTAATTAATGACACAGGATCATCTATTATCAGTAAATCACCAAGTTAATGATGGTTTAAGAAGAAGTTAATTACCCACGACGAAGGCACAGGCTTTCCAGCCGCCGCGCTTAGAGCGGAGGACGGGGTTGCCGGTGAGATCGACGGTGCCGTCCCTTGTGTACTGAGGTGCGGCCTCCGCCTCTTCCATGGCCGCCATTAATGATGGAGAGGTTGGGAGAGAAGGAGCGACTGAAGGGCGTTGAAGGAAGCAAGATCGGTTCCCATTTTATTTGTCTTCCAACTTACTTATCGCTTTCAATTTTGTCTTGTTTTCACTAGTCGTCGTTTTAGTTATTAATGGCCTTTTGTTTGTTTGTATTGATGGTCAGGAAGGAAATTTGAGTCAAAGTTAAGATCGTCTAAATTTATTAAAATAATCTTTTTTTTCTTATCTTTTTTTTATTTTATTTATTTATTTAAATAAAATTTGATTAAGGGTTTGTTAGGGATGGATTGTTAGTTCTATGTGGAATTTATTGTGTTGTACTATTGCCTTGGTGTTAAATTCCATTGAACGAGCTCGTTGTGGGCCTCACCCTACTTGGATTTGGGTGCTTTACACTTGGAAAAAATTTCACGTACAACACTATGGTGTTGTGTATCCGAGCGTTGCAGCATTCTATAATTTTCTTGTAAATAAAGAAAGAGCAGAGCGCTGCGGCGCTCCAGACTTGACGCTGCAGTGCCATCAGACGTACAAAACAAAGAAGTGAGCGATGTCGTGCTTCAATTATGGAACTGTGGTACTGTGAGATGGACTGAGAGTTTTTCTCCTTGTTTTCATTAAGGGTTGCATACCTTGGTTGTTTTTTTAAATATTTTATTTTTGTTTGTTCATAGAGAACGGTGCAAGAGAGAATATATATAAGAAGATAGCGAGAGAGAACAGAGATCTTTACTATTTCTTCTAAAAATTTTCATAGTTAATTTCTTATTGTGGTGTGGCTTCAAGATTTTTTCATGATTTCGAGTTTTTTCATATTAAATCCTGGTGTTATTTTTTTCCGCAGCCATTTCACTTTCTTGTTTGTATGTGTTGCGTGGTTTACTTCAACTTTTTTCATGATTTCGGATTTTTCCATATTAAATCCTGATCCCATTTGTCCACGACTGCAACTTTTTATAAAGTTGATTGCAAAGTTATTGTGGGTACATTAATTTAGCAACTTTGATTTTAAAAAAATAATTTTCATCACAAAAAATTAAAAAAAGTAGTGAGAAAGTAGCAAGAAAATAATAACCAAACGAAATTGTGATATCTATCTGAAAAACAAAACAATGAAAAAGCTTATCCAAATAGATCCTAAATTTAAGTTGCTATATTTTATTAAAAAGTTCTCTTATTAAAAGGAAAAAAAAATCAGAATATAAGAATATAAATTGTGATAAAATGATATTAAAATCATTAAATTTATGTTGAGATTAACATTATATATTAAAATTTTACATTTATTAATTTAAGTTTTTTAAATAATTTAATATAATTGATACGTTATCATGAAATTATTTTGATTGGGCACGAATCTCGATGCAAATCCCAAATCATAAATTTCAAAAATTAAATTCGGAAGCACATGAACTCCGATTTCAGGAAACTTACAGTCAAACTGAGCGTCTCGGAAATACAAACCCAACGACACCAAATTCAACCCAATCCGAACCCAAATGAGTCCAAATCAAGGATCTGAAGCGCTGTTGAAAAGTTTGAACCACAATTTGAGTTGTCAAACGGTTTCCAAACATAACGTGCTTATAGTTGAATCGAGCGGATCGACAAGGTGAATCCAACGAGCCCAAGATCGTCAAATTCCAACATCATTAAGACCTTCAAACACTACAGAATTAAAATATAAAAGTACAATTTAATTAAAAAAGGGCATTAATAATGCATTCTTCAGCCAATAAAAGAAGATTGGTGTAGCTCAAAATTATTGTGAAATTCAATTTTGATAGAATTTAGAACAATTGGGTTTGAAAAAGATAACAAATCTTGTTAATGTACACAATGTGGTCGAGTATGATCATCATTTGTAACCAGCTAGCAGCCTCATAGTATGGGTGTCAATTAAAGTTAGTAAGTTGGGAATTTGGTTGGGGTGGGCTCAAATCTAATTCAAAAGTGATTTGACTCAAATATAATACATTTGAAAATGTAATCGATGAGTTTTTCACATAATTTTGGTCCATTTGGACTTTGGAGAATAAACATTGATATTTCATCAAAAAACTATCTTGATCGGGCATGAATCTCCGATTTCAGCAAATTTATAGTGAAATTAAATTCGGGATCACTCGAACTCCAATTTCAGCAAACTTATAGTGAAACTGAGCGTCTCAGAAATACGAACCCAACGACACCAAATTCAACTCAATCCGAGCCCAAATGAGTCTAAATCAAGGACCCGAAGCGCTGTTGGAAAGTTCGAACCACAATTTGAGTTACCAAACGGTTTCCAAACATAACGTGCTTATATTCGAATCGAGCGGCTCGATGAGGTGAATTCAACGAGCCCAAGATCGTCAAATTCCAACATCATTAAGATATTCAAATGTCTAACGAACAGTACACGATCAAGGGATTCAATATCGGCCGTCCATCCAACCACTCTCATTTACCCCTGCTCTCTCACCTATTTACGGGTCACGCCACTTCAGAAATCTATAAATAGACCACTCATTTCTTTTACACCCCAAAGCAAGAAAAAGAAGAGAATGATAAAAGGTAAGAAACTCCTCATCAACCATCACTGGAGTTCTGCCCGACGCCCAAGTAACCCCGTAGTTCTACCAGACGCCCAAGTGACGCCGAAATTCCACCCTAAGCCCAAGTGGCGCTGCAATTCTACCAGACGCCGAAATTCTACCCAAGCGACACCGGAATTCTGCCTGACGTTCAAGTGACCCTGAAACTCCGCCCGATTTCCGAGTGACGCCAAAATTCTAAGTGACTCTGAATTCAACTCGAATACACAACTTGTGTGTAACTAGACTTCAATCCTGAAGTAAATCATTGTAATCTGATCGTCCTAAATTCTAAGTATGAGTCAGCCTCTTGTATCTCAACCAAACAATAGTTAAACTTTTTCAACTGCGCGTGGCCCCGTGGTTTTTTTCATTTCCAAGGTTTTCTACGTAAAAATCCGAGTGTCTTTATTTTTCTCATGTTTCTGTGCTGGATATCCGTACAACGTTGAGTCTAACTCTATCGCCGCGCATATTGTAGTCCGCAACAAACATGATGTTTGTTTGCATCTTTTGTCTGAGATTAGTTGAATTTGAGCATTTGACAACTCGACTCAACATCTGCTCCCAACAATCTATCCATGCACCCAAGGTTAGAACTAGTCTTTCTTTTAAGGGTAGACACAATTTAATAATAAAATGTATAATCTTATGTATGAAATCGGAAAAAAAAAATCTTATAATTTGAGCAACTGCATTTATTAGAAGTTAGCTAAATATTTAAAATGCTTTTTTAATGAAAAAAAAAAGATTTCAAGTTGGTTAATTGACCATCTTGAGCTCTTTCTTATTCTGCCTATTTATCCACTAATTTTTTCTAATGAAGAAGAAGCTTTTCACATGCCACCTATTCCATGTGATGTATGATTCAATGTAGACGGAAAAATAATTTCATCGTCTCCTAAAGAGATGTCAAATCATTGAGAAGAATTATCGGAAGCATGTCCGAATCCATTGAAATGCAAAATCAAGATTTTCAGTCTTCCATATTTGAAGTGTTCGCCAAAAGAGTGATAAACCTCTTCTTTTTCACTCAAGATGAGAAATGAGAGAAATGCCAACTTAACCGCTTAAACTGGTGACCACGAGCTTTTTATACTTTAATTATATATATTTATTTTATTTTCAACCCATCATTAAAATAAAATAAATAATCAGTCTCTACACAATAATTAATTCCATACAAATTTAATTGAGATGTCACATAAACAAAAAAATATTAATTTAATTCTTAAATATATCACAAATTTAATTCACTCAATTTTATATTGCTTTTGATATATAATACTTTATATATATA